TTTCCTTTTCTTTCCTTCTTTTTAAATTGAAGAGAAGTTCATGTTTCATTTTATATTTCTTTGATAAGACTGATTTACCATTTCACAACTGTAAAAAATTCTGATGTGTACACCACATGACTTCCTTGTACGGAATATTAAATTACACGCATTTTTTTCTTGATTTATTTTAAATTGATTGATTGAATTAAATCTACTTCGTCGACAGCGCATAAACCACAATAGAATAAATGCATTCTTTTAAATTCACTATATTTGTTTAACTATAACGACACTCTGAATGCACAAAATTTATATCATTTGAAGAATTATCTTATCGTTGCCACATGTTCTATTCAAATACTATAATAAAGCTAGAACGATGTATAAAAGAAATTAAGGGGAAAAAAAAAAACAAAAAGAAACAGTTTTTTCACAGACGATTGAGTATTTCTCATTCAGTTAATTTAGTTCTCACTTCGCGACAAGGCAAAAATATATAAAAACTCAAAATATCTATATTAAAAATTACGAAGTAAATCTTAAACACTTATTTCCTCGAAAAAATTCCAGAAAGGATTAAGCATGATTTAATTCGCAATAATAAATGAAGGCGTTATCTTTGTTGTTGCGAAGCTTAGTTCTCTCTAGATTGGCAACAAATCCTACAATTCTCTGCTGTTTCAAATGTAAGAAATCAATGGTCCGCCATGTTATTTAAAAGGCTTAACCGCACTTAAAGAGCTTTTAAATTGTTGATAATTCTACAAATATTGCTTCCAGAATTTACAAAAGGCATAAAAACCTTAACCGGAAGATAAAACAACATAATTCAATCATTTTTAAAGCAAAAAATGTACAATTTACAAACATATAAGAGTAAAGAAACTGAGATCATTATCCCGAGTAACAGAGTGGATATATATATAAATATAGTATTTATATACGTTTGGTGCGGCCGATTGCAACCAAAACACGAGGTGCACATCTACATGTTATAGCAGTTCTATATACAAAATTTCAACGTTCTGAGGCTACTCGTTTTCGAGTTATGTTATTACGTACATACGTTCGTACAGACGCCACGAAAAATTCTCTTCAGAATTAACTTTAAAGCAGTTTTATAATTTTTTTGGAGGAAACGAGTCTTTTATTCTGTCCTTACGTACAGATATCACGCAAAAACATCGTTAAATTGCATTCGATAGCTGTCAAAATGGATATTTTCGTTGAAATATGCTGCCTGAAACTTTTCGCGATTACAATACTTCCTTTTTACTTCGTACAAGGAAGTAAAAAGGAAGTCTGATATTATTAAACTAGTTTTATCTTAATGAAGAGACATACAACATCTTTCGAAAGAACTAATTAAATTCATACATAAAAAAATTTCAGATGAGAATAACTGTACAAAATATGAACTACTACAGAGCTTATCAAGGTAAAAAAATATGATTGATAATTATCGAGGTAAAAAGTACTCACTCATCTTTAAAAACATCATACGAAATTACGCTAGAAAGCACTGGATATGTTATATTATTTTTTGAATCTGACAGTCCAAGTCCACCCAAACACCAGATGTGATCATCCATAAATGCACAAGCCATGCTCATTCGAGGCACTGACATTGGTCGCAATAATGTCCACTTATCATTCTCAATATCATAAGCTTCAATAGAAGCAACCAATCTGGAAGGTAATATAAATCATAACATTAGGGTAATAAACATAATTACACTTAAAAATACATATCATACCAAGTTTTGAAGGTAGTAAGTTTTACACTACAATGAATTAGAACTTATGGAGTATTAGGATCAAACATTGCAAGCAATTACAGAATTTGTTTTTTCCAAGCATTTACAGAAACTTACAGACAAATGACAATTATTCACCTAAGTATTTTTAAAAGTTTTCGTTGAACGCTTTAGGAAACCGAAACTACAAATAATTATTTCCAATAATCCATAATATTTTGAATAATTAAAATCAAATAAGCACAGATTCAATGTACAAATATTCAGATTAATTAACATTAAAATTAAAAGCCAATCTGCAAACAAAAAAAAAATATAATATTTTCAGTAATGAAAGTTAAATGAGTTACAAATAATGATATCTTACATTAATTCATAAATTTATTATGGTGTCTAAACGTTTAGACAGTCATTTTGAAAGGACTATATATTACACAGTAGAAGTTTAATAATATAACATCCAGTGGTTCGCGTCTCGTAATCAGGCATGTGTATTCCGAATTTGCATGACATTCAAAAGCATTACCATCATTTAGCATCATTATTTAGAAACATCTAACTGAATTTTCTCCAGAGCTATTTTTACTAGCCATCCTTTATTTACAGATTAACTGCTGTTAAAAATAATTTTGAAATGCACTGACTTCTTAACGTTCCCTTTTGCATCTAAAAACTTGTAAGCATTCCTTGGACATTCTTTTAATAACAATTCGCTCTTGAACAATTTTACAGCCGATCTTCTGATCTCTGAATTTATATGAAACCATTTTTTAATAATAATCCATCTCCTAAAGCATCCTGGGAATGAAGGAGTCGTTTAGAGCTTTAAGTGCAAATACAAACATTCAGTGAGCACAATTTATTTGATTACACTTGCAGTGTCGAGGAATTGTAAGCTCAGTTCATATAAATGCAAACATCGCTCTTCCTACTACTTGGACACATGCAAAGAGCATAAACTTACATGAACTTTAATGATAATTGCTGCTCAGTGTTAAGAAGCAAAATTCGTTTGAAGAAGATAACATTACTGATCACGTTATTATCTACCACATTGAGCTGCTGAATCCAGTTCACTGCGTTCTTTCGAATAACCCCTCTGCTACTCATAGGTTTAGGAGATGAGATTGTAGAGACATTAGATTATTTGTAAAATACGGAGAGATGAAAAATGAGAAATCGCTTTCGCCGGGAATCGAACCATGGACCTCTGGAATACCGGCAAACCGTGCAAAACCACTACACCACGAAAACCCGCTAGGAAGGCGAGAGAAATACCTTATATACTTTCCCTTTTAAAGGGCGATTGGGGTTTTTAGGGGACCCAATCGCCAAATACTGGATGAGGAGAATCATCATCCAAAACCCTTTTCTTAGTTCGGGCGCCACTGTAGAGACATTAGGTAATTTTTGGAAGCAGGCAAGATGAAAAATTTGCAACCGCCTTCGCCGGGAATCGAACCACAGACCTCTGGAACACCGGCCCAGTGTGCAGAACCACTACACCACGAAGGCACGCTAGTAAGGCGGGAGAAATACCTTATATACTCCCCCCTTTTGAAAGGAGACTGAGTTTTTTAGGGGACATAGTCGCCAAATCCTGTTTGCGGAGAGTCATCATCTATCACCCTTTTAGTTCGGGCGCCACTTTAGAGACATTATGTAATTTCAAGCAGGGAAGTTAAAAATATGCAAACGCATTCGCCGGGAATCGAACCACGGACCTCTGGAATAACGGCCCAGTGTGCAGAACCACTACACCACGAAGGCACGCTAGTAAGGCGGGAGAAATACCTTATATACTCCCCCCTTTTGAAAGGAGACTGAGTTTTTAAGGGGACCCAGTCGCCAAATCCTGGGTGCGGAGAGTCATCATCTATCACCCTTTTAGTTCGGACGCCACTGTAGAGACATTATGTAATTTCAAGCAGGGAAGTTAAAAATATGCAAACGCATTCGCCGGGAATCGAACCACGGACCTCTGGAATAACGGCCCAGTGTGCAGAACCACTACACCACGAAGGCACGCTAGTAAGGCGGGAGAAATACCTTATATACTCCCCCTTTTAAATGGCGACTGGGTTTTTTTTTAGGGAACCCAATCGCCAAATGCTGGGTGAGGAGAATCATCATCCAACACCCTTTTTAGTTCGGGCGCCACTGTAGAGACATTAGGATTTTTTTCGAGGCCGGAGAGATGAAAAATTAGCAACCGCCTTCGCCGGGAATCGAACCATGGACCTCTGAAATACCGGCCCAGAATGCAGAACCACTTCACCACGAAGGCACGCTAGGAAGGCGGGAGAAATACCTTATAAGATTGTCCACCATAGCATTGGAGAAACACTGCACTTATGAACAAACACACACACAAAATGAATGTTGGTTTTTAAAAAAAGGTAAACATTCTGTTTGAAAATGGTTCATCCAATTAAAGTACAGTAAATCTCTAAACATAAATTAGTTAAGTATGCTAAATTAAAATAAATTAGTTAAGAATGCTAAATTAAAATAAATTAGTTAAGAATGCTAAATTACATTTTTATTTTCTAATGTTTTTTTAACCACTATACACATTTGTTAGGATAACGAATTTATTAATTTGTTTAAGTTCTTCATTTTTATAATATGTTCAATAATAATTATGAAATCATTTCTACAACATTATAAAATACAAAAATCTTGCATATTTGATAATCTGCAATCATCCCAAGCATGAGCACCCAATCCTGAACATGCCAGATTATCAGACTTTTTATTATAGCTGCTCTTAAAATAAATAAATAAAAGAGAATGAGAAAAAAAGTCTTTAAAGAAAGTAATGTAACAATGGGATAATAATAACTGATATTTCCTAGTTAAAAGCCACTGCATAAACCTTCAGCAATATTTAAAACTTAAACCTTATGAACTAGGCAAATCAGTTTGCCAATATTTAAAATTTAAGCCTTATGAACTAGGCAAATCAGTTTGCCAATTCTGGTGACTCTAAGTATGGTGGATTCTTTACCAAAGAAGTACCTAATAATTAGATTGGATTTACAAATTAACAACTATAAATAAATATTCATTTACATAACAAAAGAAAATAAAAACTTCTTTGCAACCTCCATAGAAAGTGGTGATAAATTTAATTTTGGTGAAAAAAGAATAAGCATTTTAAAAGTCTTTACCAAATGAAAAGGGATCCAAAAAGAACCAAAGAATTCACATACCTTCCATTGTTATTTCGTCCTCCCACTGCAAAAAGTTTACCATGTGCAACAATAAGACAGTGATGTGCTCTGTAACAATTCATATCAGCCTTTTGTGTCCATTCACTTGAATGAATATTTAAACAGTATGTAGTATTAGTTGAAACCATTTCCCCACTGTTTCTTTTATCAGGATCACAACCACCTGAAGCATTATGAATTTAGATAAGGATCATTATGTATCATAAAGATAATAATTTTTCCTACATACTCATATTTTTATTATACATTATTAGTTATCATTATTATTATTTATTATTGATAAATTTGTGCAATTCAGCACATTAATATATAATAGAATATAATTTAACATTGTATTTACTATTCAGTAAAAAATGACTGCTTTATCCCTTGGTAAAAATAGAAGTAACCTATATTATTATTATTAACTACTTCTAGTGCCATAAGATTAAAATGGGGATACCCATAAAATTTATCATCAGATGATGTTTAAGCTTTCTAATATGCATTTCAAAATGTTACTTTTTAACATTCATTTGCTTCTTTGGTCAAAAATTCTTAAATTATTAACAAAGTTAAGTCTCATTTGAGATTATTTAGCTTCCAAGTATGTAGCATCATTTTTTATCAATATTCGATTTTCTCAGTTAAAAAATACTCAGTTAGAATTTCAATACATTTTTATTTTTGGTCAAAATATTATTAAATAAACAAATAAAAAAAGTAGGATTATTTTAGTAATTAACTTTTTATAATACACAGTTCTTTAGTTTCACATTTATGCATTTTTAATTATTTAGAATTGTTTCATAGCACACTAAATATGAACATTTTTTAAGCATTTACTTAAAATATACATTACATATTTATGAAAATAAAACTGATCTTAAAAATTTTATTTTAAATGCAGATATGTAGGCAATACATGAAAATATTTTTAATTTATGTGATCTTGCACACTTTTTTTATGCTTCCTACCTTTTTATTAATTTATACAGAAATTTTCTAAAGAATTTTTGATGGTTTAAATTCCTAATTTAAACCATCAAAAATTCTATTTAACTGTAAATTTTAGCGAGATGTTTTAGAGTCTTTTTTAATAAAAATAAATGCAAAATGAAATTATCACTCAGATTCAGAACAAGACTTAAATAACAGATTAAAAAAAATAAGAAAGCTATACAATTCAAAAAGAATAATTGCTTGATAAAAGATACAAAATATGAAATAATATTATGAATATAGCATAATACATAACAATTTAAAGGGTTTTATTTCATTCTTATTAATGTAAACTTGGTCACTATCCTAACATTAATTCATTGACACAAACTATTTCATTTAACACTTAAGAATAAGAACAATTACAAAGTTAATAACTTGATCTGACTCTTTTTAATTAAAAGTGTGTTTTACTGTGCTCTCATAAAAAAGTGTGAATGGACGATAAGAAAAATATTTTACACATTTTTTCAATTAGGACTTTTTTCAGATTAAGAATTTTTTTCATGACATAGATATCAATAATGCACATATTTATTTTATGTAGGGTTGATGCGAATTATAATGATCCCTTCTTATAATAACCCTTTGGTTATAACAACTCACATTAAAAGTCTCCAGTTGATGTGAGTTATAGTAAATCTACACTCATGTCCATAAATTAAGGATAATGCAAAATCAGGCAAAGGAAGAGTTAGAAGCAAAAAAAATTGACTTATTTGTAAAGCTTATTTGTTAAAGAAAAGGTAAAGAGCAAACAAAGATGCTATATGTTTGATATTATTAAAAAAATTAGCGATTTTTTCTCCCTGGAGCAAATTACAAAAAAAAAACCTATTTACAAAAAACAATATTACATAGTTGGTATGGTTTTTAATACATTGTATGTCTCCCAGAATATGCAATACAGTCCGTGCAACGCCTAGGCATGCTGAGTAACAAATTATTGATCTGAAGTCCGGTGAGAATGCTGGCCAGTCCATACGGGTGATATCCTCCGATTGAAGGCATTCGTTTACGATGTTTGCTCGGTGAGGACGGGCGTTGTCATTCATAAACACAAATTGTGCGCCCATGGCGCTCCGAAACAAACGTACATGTTGTTCCAGAATGACGTCCCGATAGATTTGGCTTGTCATGGTTCCGATTTGAACATGCAGGTCAGTTCTAGAACCCAGAATAATTCCACTCCAAACGAGCACTCCTGCACCACCGTAACGGTGTCGTTTAGTGATGTTTTCTTGGTGGTAACGGGTACCTGGAGCTCTCCACATGAAAGTCCGGCGAGAATCAGACTGCAAGCTAAACCTGGACTTGTCGGAAAACATCCCACAAGCCCACTTTTGCGGTGTCCACAATGCATGCTTTCTACTCCAGGCTAACCGCAGGCGACAGTGAGTTGCAGTAAGTGGAACGCATCTGACAGGTCTACGAGCATATAGACCAATCTGCCCTAAGCGTCTGTACACGGTCTGCCTTAAAATTGTCGTACCAGTGGCTGAAGAGAGCTGACGAGACAGGTCTGAGGCTGTGCTCCGCCTGTTTCTTTTGGCAGTAACTGCCAAATACCGGTCCTCATTCGGCGTTGTAACTCTGGGGCGACCTGTGCTGTAACGTCTACTCACATCACCATCATCTTGGAATCGTTGCCAAAGCCTGGAGATGACACTCTGTGCGATTCCAAGTTCGTCTGATACTTCCAGTTGGGTACGCCCACATTCCAGAACCTTTGTGTCATAACTATTCGGTTATTGCACTGAAATGCTTATAAAGCGCATGCGAACAATTTTACTTCTTTGCCTGTATTCCTTATATATCACTCTCTTACACTCTCGTCATTGTGACGTGCCATCGGTGTCATCTGGTTACTTCCTGAAATTTGCATATGATTCTTGAAGATGTGTGTAGTGATTTTACAGGTGATATATTTATTTTAGAGTTCGATTTCCGCGTGACTCAGAATTATCCTTAATTTATGGACATGAGTGTACTTTAAGTATAGAGACCAATCATTATCATCTTATTTGTATAATGTGAGGTGTCATTTGAGCATCATCAATATATATACAAAAATTTATAAACATAATTTATTTATTAAATTTCTACTTACCAGTTACATAAATAAACTCCTGATAATAAACAGCAGCATGATAATTTCTTGGTTCTGGCAGTACACCAAAATATTCCCAACGATTTTTCAATGGATGATATCTCATAATAAGCTTTCCTACATATTAAAAAAGCTACATAATTTCATTATAATAACACAAAAAATTATATCACAGATCATATCTACTATTTAACAGTTAGCACATACTTCAAAGCTTATATAATTTCTTGGTTCTGGCAGTACACCAAAAGATTCCCAACGATGTTTCAATGGATTGATATTCATAATAAGCTTTCCTACCCTATTCCAAAAAGTACATAATTTCATTATATAACAACAAAAAATTATATCACAGATCATATCTACAATTTAACAGTTAGCACATACTTCAAAGCTTAATGCAGTTATAGTACATTATTTCATTTACGATAGTGAATAAATTGTGAAAAGAATATGATACTGACATCATATTTTGAAGCAAAAATTTATATTTCATTTCAAATGGCAGTGAAATCACTAGAAGATCTACACTAATCATGAATCTTATGAAAAAACATTAAGAAAACTACATTTTATTTGTAACCATTAACAATTATTTTACACTTAATCATTAACTATTAATAATAGGATAAAATCACAGAATTTAATCAAATACTTCCATTAATGCCAAGGGATGAAAAAAAGGTACTGGACTCAAGGTATTGAAAAGGAAGTTTAAACTAAAATTAATTTACTCTGATTAGGAGTTAAAAAGGCCATTTAAGAGAAAGTTTAGCAGAATCTAAAATATAACTAAAATTAAGTTAAATTGTCTTCAAAGCAATATTGACTAAAAAATAAGCATGACGGTACGTTCCAATTATTGCATACATTTTCCAATCAGTGTTCAGTTTGTAACAAATGGCAATTGAAGGGTAAGGATTACATCATATTAAGTCACAAAGTGGCATGATATATTGGAAAATAGCAATGAATACTTGAATATTTTACATGCATATCAATGGGTGGTACTTCATAGTTCATAACAGCAAACAGCATTGTACAGTGCACGAGTAAAAGTCAATGAAAATGCCAATTGAAATCATGATGATGCAAGAAAGGGGCAAAATGCTATTATCCTTTTTTTTTCCCCAAGAGGCAAAAGGACTTAATGCAAATTATATTCATAAAGGAGTGCTTCCTCTATGTATGAAAGACGGGTAAAGAGGGGTGTTTGATAAGTACAAGGAAAATTTCTCAAGGCCACTTCAATTGGTAGAACCTGGCTGGGGCTCATCTTGATGAAAACACTGAAGTGGGTACCCTCTTCAGATTGAGACAAATTCAGATGGAAGTGTGGAGAATTGATTGAGAAATGTACTAGACACTATAGCAATAGCAATAACAGTACTTGTTTCCTTCAATAAAAATATATCTTGAAGGCAAACACTTTAACAATAATAATAATGTTCAAGATCTGGCTGAGACAGCAACCCAAAAAATTATATGCAGCTGGCACTAGAGCACTGATAAACAATGTGACAAGAGCATAAATAATTATGAAGATTCATAAAATAGAGAAATAAAAATAACTTTCTGGTGCAACGGAAGTCATTTGTAATCCCCCACTTTATTTTCTTCCCGTATGTACTAAATAATAACACAATCCAAAAACATATGGGAGAAAAAAGCTTTCAAAGCAGGAAGGGGTCTTTGGCTCGGGCAAGGGACCGTGGCGGTCACAGAGGTAAGGACTGAAAGAAGGGACGGTGGAACGACACCTGCAAGAGTCATACATGGGGTGCCATTTCGGAAGATGAGGTTTTTAACTCATAACATGGGAAAAGGGCAAATGAAAGATGCAAAAGGGCTTTTCAAAAAATAACACCGTTCACATTCATAGAAGGGGGTGGAGACGGACAGGAAAAAATTAGCACCGCTTCGACGGGAATCGACCAGGACCTATGATTACATGCCCTGCGCAGAACAAAACCACGAAGGCACGCTATGAAGGTGGGAGAAATACCTTATATACTCCCCCTTTTAAAGGGGGACCGGGGTTTTTAGGGGAGCCAGTCACCAAATCCTGGATGTGGAGTATCCTCATCCAACACTTTTATTTCGGGTGCCACTGTAAAGACATTAGTCATTTTTTGGAAGCAGGCAAAATTAGCAGACATCTTCCCCGGGAAACGAACCACGGACCTCTGAAATACCGGCCCAGCGTGCAGAACCACTACACCACGAAGGCACGCTAGGAAGACGGGAGAAATACCTTATATACTCCCCCTTTTTAAAGGGCGACTAGAGTTTTAGGGGACCTAGTCGCCAAATTTTGGATGTGGAGTGTCATCACCCACACCCCTTTTAGTTCGGGCGCCACTGTAGAGATATTAGGATTTTTTTCGAGGCCGGAGAGATGAAAAATTAGCAATCGCCTTCGCCGGGAATCGAACCACAGATCTCTGGAATATCGGCCCAGTGTGCAGAACCACTACACCACGAAGGCACGCTAGGAAGATGGGAGAAATACCTTATAAACCTTTTAAAACCTTTTTTATTTATCTGAATTTATGATATTAAGGGTGACCACCATCCAGCTGTTGAAACATGTTACAGTTTCTCCGATAAGACTCTGTTTGTGTTTCATTAATATGAAATATATATATGTTTCATTAATATGAAATGATCATAGATTTTTCATTCATGGGCTTCATGATAATAAAAAAAAAGAATTAAATTTTTCTTTCGTTATCAACTTGAACATTTCATTTAATGAAATGGCTACTTATTTCTGTACCTACTTTTGACCTGATTTCAACTACCTCAAAATTTCAAAGCTAGATAAGAAATACATTCAAAAATTAATGATGTTTTTTGCCGTTCCTTTTAGAACTTTCATTATTTGAAGTTTAACCGGGGGAATAATAATAATAATAATAATAATAATAATAATAATAATAATAATAAACTTAAGACACTATATTAAATAGCAAGAATAGCTAATTATAATTTTTAATATTATTTTTATCCAAAATTACAGATATTATGAAATTCAATTATAACATACATATTTTTATTTCAATATTGGAAAATTTACAGTTTAATCTCTTTCAACATTATGGTGCCTCTTCCTACTTCAGTTTTTTGATACACAGAACATATTCGAAAAACACAGGAATCATATGTAAATCAAATATTACCATAACTCAAATTAACAGGATCTCTAGGTTGTAATCCTCCCATTACCAGCACAACAGGCAATGAATCATCTTGCAGAGTAGTTACAGTGAGCATATTTTTGGCAAATGAAGGCATGTGTTCAACTTTACGCAGACCTAAAACATTTCTGAAAAAATATCAAATTAAACCCTTTCAAATTTTTCTGAAAAATTATATGTACGCATTAAAAATAAGCAATTTTTATATTCCTTCATTCCAACTAGCCAGTTTTTATCAGCTACTGCAGCTAACAGAGAAGTGACTTTTTGTATGTCATACAATCTCCTAAATGTAATTATCTCAGAGGATGCAAGCAATAAAAAATGCTCTTAAATAACTTGAGGGAATGCAAGTGGTACAAAATCATGAATTCATAAAGAATATTATTTAATATCTCTTCCTTAATAGTGATCCTTTAAAAATATACAAACAATTACGCGTTATTATGCTCATTTAGACAAAGATTAACCATCCTTATTAATAATATTCTATTCCAAGTAATCAGTTTTATATTAGCTACAGATGGGAAATGTATATTGTTGGAACATTAATCCGAAACAACTGAATTATATTAATTATATTGGACAGATTGACCAAAGCAAAAACTTCCTAGATAATTTGTTATAAAAAAGGACAATGGCAAGTGTCCGGTTTAAAAACACACTTTTCTCTGCCTCTGAATAGGAACACATAAATTAAGTAGAATGGAGTTGATTAAGAGAGTGCTAAGTGGTAACAGTCTGAACTTTGGAGCTTGCTTACATTTAATGCAGTTTGAATGCTGCTAAGATATTTAAAAGATTCTAGATTAGATTAATTTCTTTTGGTATTCTAATAAACCCCCTTTTAAACTAGTAGATTGAATGTTGATTTAAATAGAGATCCTACTGAGCCACACATGTAGAAATTTAGAGTTGGTATTTAGATACATTGTAGAACTTTGTTAGATACGCCATGCCATTATTGTCATTGTGTAAATTTTGGCTCAACTGCTGGGGAAAAGGATTCAGAAGAAAATTTAATGATTATTCAATGAGTATTGTGAAGGAATTGTAAGTGTTAAGATTTGAATTCCATTCAATATACCTCTGAAAAGGTAAAATTTTTTCTTTATTTGCAATGACACTGGAAAAGCTGAGAAAAGTTAAAGATTTAACTCTCAACAGTAAAGTCTACAGTGAGAATGCTAGTGCGTGATGCTCCTATTAAGAAAAACGTCGAACTGAGTTCCGGTGCAAAAATGTAATGCTCCATCAAGATAATGCAAGACCACATATGTCTGCATTCACCAGTTGGACTCTGTACGAACTCGAATAGGATATTTTGCGATATCCAACCATATAGTCCCGACAGCGCTCCTTTGACTTCTACATTTTTTCATACCTGCAGCTACATCTTCCTGGTGCTATCTTCCATTCTGTACAGGACGTCCGAAATGGGATTGATCTGTTTTTGGACTCGCGGCTACCATATATAGATTGGGCTACCAAGTTTTTGGGCCAAAGGCTCTGAAAAACTACTAAAATGTTGGCAAAAAATCATAGATTTGGGTGGTCATTGTTACCCGCTCTAAAGGCATTGCTTTTATGGTTTTTTTTTCCTAACTTTATTAAGAACGTTTTTGACGGAAAAATTTCGTTGCAAGATATTGAAAGCTGCCAGTTTTAATCAAATATGAAAGACAAATTGCGCGAATTTGCAGGAAGTTTTTGACGAACATGAAAATTCTGAAATCCTCTAAGTTCTGGAACAGAAGATATTGGAATATAATTTAAATTTCAAGGAAGATCTTCCGAAGATAGAATCACAAAGTTGAACTAATCAGACTCAAGAGAAAATAAAGCTAATCACAAAGAAAAAGGTTCCTAAGACCAATGGGAAACTTTACAATCATATTAGATTTATAAGTCCATTCACTATTACAGCAAAAATACTAAAGCAAGAAATTTGTCAACTTGGTACAGATTGGGATGATCCGTTGCCATCGGACTTTAGAAACAGAATGAGAAAATGGTCTAATGACCTGTTAGCGATTCAGAATATAAACATTAATCTACATTACTTCCAAAAGATTAGTAAATCTGAACTGAGAGATATTCAAATGCATTGCTTCACCGAATCACAAAGGACAGTGAAGCAGGAAGGAGTTTGTAATTTCCAAAACCAGAGTAGCGCCGGTGAAGAGGCTGTCTGTCTTTTACAAGACTAGAGCTTATGGCAGTACTCGTCGGAGCAAGATTAGCCTCAAATATCAAAGAAAAGATAGAGAAGAGGCTCCAGATGAATGTACAGTTTTGGACAGATTCTTCTGTGTCATTATATTAGATAAAGGCAATTTGAACAAGTGGAAGTGATACATCTAGCATCGAGTAATGGAAATACCAGAGAAAATATCACCTGAGTCCTGGAATTACTGTCCCGGAGATGAAAATCCGGCTGACATGCTGACCACACGAACGAAGACAAAATCCATAAAAGAAACAATATTAGGTGAACTAAAAAATAGTGATATGTGGTGGCATGGACCTAAGTGGTTATTATAGAGTATCGATTTGTGTCCTAAACTCATATAATCAGTAGAGTAGTTCGAAAATAATGAAAAGTTCGAAATTCGAAAGTGAACTCAACAGTCACAGGTGAAAGTTCCGTTGAGAATGCAGTTATAAAAAAGTATTCATCATTTAGTAAACTGGTTAGAATTACGGTGTGATGTTTAAGGTTTGTGAACAGCAGCAGAATCAATCCACGATTAAGAAACGAAAGTTGTTTGAGTGATTCTGAATTGCAGAATGCAACAAAGGTGGGCTGTTCCTAGGCCATTGGCTGAAAGCGCTTTCCTACGACTGCCGTCCACAAATTTAAAAAAAATGCTCAATGATTAATAAAATTTTTATTTCATACTAAGTACTTACATATGGCAACTTGTATAAAAAGTACTTACATATGACAAGTACTTACAATGAATTTAGGAATTTAAAATATATAGGCGTGGTGCACTCCACTAGGAACGGCCCTGCAAATGTGTGCAACATTCTGAGTTTCAATCTGAAATTAGATGCCAGTTGCCAAAACGAACAGTTCCAACGTAATAGTAAGGTTTGATCTTTAAATGTAATTTCAGAACAGAGATGAACTTTTATGAGTTGATGGGAGACAACGTCTAATTTTTTTGAATTTCAGAAACATCAACATTTTTAACCAAAAAGACATCGTTTCACTGAATTACTCATAGATTATTATCACAAAAAATCTCTTCATTAAGCCATTCAAACACTTTCTCTTATTAGACAATTTTATTGGCTACCTTCTGGATACGACAGAGTTATATGTTTTATTAAGAAATGTATGGCTTGCTTTCGGACAAGAAACCAAATGATGGGAATTTACCTAAAGGTAGAGAAGTAACAAAAAGACCATTCGAAAAAATAGAACTAGACATTGCAGAACCAGTTATTAACAAATTTGATTTAAATAGAAATAGAGTTACTTTAAAATCATATATCGCAATATGCTTCATTACAAAGGCTATTCATTTAGAAATAGTATCAGATTGTTTATGAAGCATTTCTAGCATGTCTTACAAGATTTATTACCAGATGGTCCAAACCCTCCCTTATTTAAATCCACAATTGTTTATAAACCACCACTATCAGTGATAATGCTACAAACTTCAAGGGAATGAACAATGCTCTTGATAAACTTAGAATTTGAAGATCAGATCCTTTTTAACACTTGAGTTCTGAAGAAGATATAGTATGAAATTTCATTGCTCCTTCTTCCCCATTATTTTGGAGGATTGTGGAAGGCTAATATAAAATCAATGAAGAAAATTTTGAGAAAGGTCGTGAAAATAATTTTAAACTTCGAAGAGCTTTATGCATTAATTACACAATGGTAAAAAATTCATTAAAATTCAACAAAATATAAATAAATAATAAAATAAATTCAAAATTTGGGCTTTCAGGTACATTGATTTATTAAAAATTTTATGGCTCTGTGTACCATTGTTTCAAAGTGTGAGGAAAATACATACATGTATGCAGATTCTTCATATTTAATTTTTTAAAAATAATAAAAATAATACAGGACAATAATGCACTGCCTCCCAAAAGTTAAGAAACAGCATATTTTTCAAAGTTCAAGATTATAAAAATATCAGTAATATTTAAATTCACAATTTATATGCATTATAGTAACGAAGCCTAAGAAAATATATGCAAAAACAATAGCCCTTTTACTAGAAATGAATACTTATATAAGAGTTGGAGTGTAAAAACTGTAAATTTTGTTCACGAGTGTTAATCTACAAGGATTATTGCATTTCGTTCACAATATACAGAACAATGTATCAATATCCAGGAGAAGTCGTTTGTTCGATTCGTTGACATGGCGAGTAATCGGACGAATGAAATGGGGATGTCACAAGCTGATGCTGCTAGACGTCTCGGTCTATCTTAGTGTGGTCCACCGACTATGAATCCGAGGATTCTGTCTTTAGAAGACATGTTCCAGGTTGACTAAGAGATGCAACAGCAACGGGAAATGTCCTCCAGCTCATGGCGAATCATTTAATGGCAATAAGAACAAGAATCTCGAATATTACAGTGCTCAGACGACTTCACAAAACAGGTCTGTATGCAAGATGACAAGTTTTTGGTGTTCCCTTGACCCGAGGACACAGAGGTACCCATTTATGTTGGGAAAGAGAACATGTCTCCTGGACCAGTCAGCAATGGACGTCAATTTTTTTCACAGACGAGTTCAGGTTCACATTCTTCAAGTCCTCAGTTGATCTGGAGGGAACAACGCACCATATACAAGCAATCCCACATTGTAAAAAGACACAGTTACAGAGGTGGTGGAATAATGGTTTGGGCTGGGATCTCTCTCGTTAATTACACTGACCTGCATGTATTCCATGAAGGAACTTTGACAAGGTGTGAGATATCGAGGCAAGATCTTTGATCACCATGTCCACCCATGTGCTGCTGCTACTTGTCCTGGATTTCTTCTGATAGACGACAATGCGTGACTGCACCCGAGCACGGGTTGCTGAAGAATATCTTGAGGGTCACAGTAGGCGGAGCGGATGGAATGGTCAGCTCTATTCCCAAACCTGAATACGATATGAAATCTTTGGGACATAGGCTGCTGCTTTAAGTCCTCTTCCATGGTCGTTAGATGAGCTTACTTCGTGGTAAGGATACTCCGTGTCTGGTCGTTGCTTACATTTCACTGACCGACAACTTTATTGACAGCATACAATGTTCATGCCACCAATGTACTGCAGCTAGGGGTGGACACATTCCTTATTAGAACCCGTTTTTGTAATATTACCACCACATTTCCCTCCAAAAACTGTGATGTACTGTTTCTCCAAGATTGGATTTCTCTGCCAAAGTCCAATTTTTTGTTGTAATTTAGGTTTATGTTGAACTTTAAAAAACTCTCTATGTCGCATTCATCAAAGGACTGTTTAGAGAACATGTCCTCTAAATTTCTTGTTTCCACGTTGCTTTATTCTCAAATTAAACACAAAAAACATGCAGTTCCTAACTTTTAGAGGGCAATATATTTGGTGGGAACAATTTAAAAGAGATACACCATTTATAGTGTATCGGGACTTGTGTTCCTCTTTACTTGCTTTGGAAACATTAACTGTCCTGACTCGGAACAGGGAGCTTACTAGAGGTATGTTCAATAAATTGTGAAGTAGACAATACACACAGGAAGGGTATACGAAACCCTTTATTTTTCTCTCTTTACAATGATTTCCGAAACTTCGGAATACAGAGACCAACCACTTGTGGTCTGAACGTAAGAATATAAAAATATTAACTAAAACTTTTAACTAAACTAACTTTGGATTAATAAACAAGTGCCTAACTCCAAGATTGGCCGTTAATTAACAAAAAGCCGTATGTAGTACAGAGAGCTGCTAAAACTACAATACGTTTAAAATTATCACGAGGATTAAACCTCTGGCCTTGAAGGCAACCAGCAAACGAGTAAAACTACTATGGCAAGCGGCCTGCTTCTAATAACTCCTTCCTCTCTCTCACTTGGCAAAAAGCCACAACTTAAGTACTTGGCGTTAGCAAGACAAATTTGCATAAATAAGTTAAAAGCTTTTAATTCTGGCCGGAAGTAGAAAATAAGAAGTGATAGTAAAGATTTAAAATAAAATAAACGTTAGTAAAACTTAGGATCCTTACAAGTGAACCAATGCAAAATCACATTTTGAGACAACTACCCCCTTTTGGGCTAATAATATTAATAATCGTAACGATATATAGAGCCTGATAAAAATACCTAAATATTAAATATATTTTTCTGGATATAGTAAATTAAATAATTTAATATTTGTTAATTTTAGAATACAATTTTACTCAGTTTTTATCAAACATAAGAACTGTAACTGTGCACTTATTTCTATTAAATAGCTTGTTTTGACTCTTTGGCAATTTTAGCACTAATGCCAGTGTCCAAGTTCCGTTGACAAATAAGACTTTGTGACATTTAGAATACACATTCTTAAAAAACGTTTTTATTCAAAATTTAAATTTTTAAAAAAAAATTTATGGGAAAAATTATAATAGTTTCAAAATTTCTTACCTTGTTTTCTTGTATACATTACATAAATGACCACACATTGCTAAATTTGGATCACAATGCTCTGGCAACGGAACATAACGTTTTACTTTAGTTTTACTATTGCTAGCAGTTACAGTGTAACCAGGTGGAAGTGTTCCTAGCTGAACATTTAATTCAGATGATGAACTCCTAGGGTCAGGTACAGGAGGCCAATCCTAAAATGTTTAAATGCATGTAAAATTTAACCAGTCCTAAAATCTATTAATTAATACAATCACCATTATTATTATTATCACAATTATTAAATATAAAGTTTTAATTTATCAATATATTCATACTGAATCAAGCCTTTCTAAAGACTCTGTAAAGAAATTACCCGATCAGAATTCTGAAATGATATTGTATACTCATCTTAAACATGGATCTAACTCAAGGAGATAAAAAACATCTTTGGCATCTTTGAAAGAAACATATTGTAAAATATGTTTTATAAAATCCAAATAACTAAAAAGTAGCAAAGACGATTAATTTCAGAACTTGACCAAGTCCTTGGTGAACTAAACTTAAAAGTCCAGAAAATAAAATGGATTGTCATGTAATATTAAAATAATAGATATCAAACATTGTCTTACTTCTCTTAAACATATCCTTCAACAAGTTATTCTCAAAATGCAATGTGATAAGCTTCGTTTGAAAGAATTTTGGAAGAAAACAAGACAAAACAAAATTTTATTTCAGAGTTAATCCTCTCATTTCACTCTCTGTTTTAGACATTATAATTATAATCCACTTCCTTCTTTTCTGAAATATGCACTTTTAGCTTAAAATATCCACATTTCTTTTTAGTTAAAGTGATATTTGTTACTCATAAATCCCAGTCTCTATGTTTACATACCTCTCTTTAAAATTTCAATTTGGATTTCGAAAATAATTTTGATTTCAGTATTTCTTCATTTGAATTCAGGGAAAAGATATTGATTTTCTCGAATAATTGATTTCAATCAACCCAGTATCATCTTTGGTTCTAATGCATGCAGACATTATCAAGGTGGCAAATCTAAATCAAAGATTACTATTTATGGCAGAACACATAAATTGGTTTAAAACTGGTTAAATTAAATTTAAAAATATCAAGACCTCTCTAAAAATTTCAGATTTATAATTCTTTCATTAAATTTTGTTCACCTTTTTCTACAGGAAAGATGTCAGGGAAAAAATAAAATTTCTATGATAGACATGTATAAAATTTAAATATACTTACATCAATCTGAACTCTTTGAAATAATTTCCATTTATCACTATATGATCCATTAGCAGAATTTTGATATGAATTCATTCTATTATTTTTTGTTATTAAGTCTGCATCGGAAGAATACATCTGAAAAATGAATTATTAAGAATTTTGACACCTAAATTTCTTTCAATTAAAACGGAAAAAAAGAAAAGCAAAAAGATATATTAACAATTATTATTTATGATAATATATACTCTTTTAATTTTGTGCCCACAAAATGCAGGCGTTTATTACTATTTGCAGTTTATTACTATTTTCAGTTTATTACTATTTGCAGTTTATTACTATTTGCCGTCAAACGGCTTGGTATTTAACCGGCCAAATACCACGCCGTTTGACGGTGAACTGTCAGAAAGTATTACCCTAAAATTATACATTTCTGAAAATATCCCAGTGCTTGCATTTTCCCATTGGTCCAACCGAGATCCATCAGTATACACATGTAGCTATTCTGGACGAGGATATTTGGTGTCTATAGTTTTCAACCAGACTCTATCAGTGTCTATAGTTAGGTCTGCTCTAAATGATGAACATCAGCTGAAATGCAAGTTGAGAGACTGCACAATGTTTCTAATTATAGAGGAGCATCTATCTAATACAATAGACGCACGTTGAGGAGCTGCACTATGTTCCTGACGCATTCTCACTGCTCTAAATGATGAACATCAGTTGAAATGCAAATTGAGAAACTATACAATGTTTCTAATTATATAGAGGAGCGTCTATCTAATGCAATAGGTGCAAGTTGAGGAGCTGCACAATCTTTCTGACGCATTCTCACTGCTCTAAATGATGAACATCAGCTGAAATGCAAGTTGAGGAGCTACACAATGTTTCTAATTATAGAGGAGCGTCTATCCAATACAATAGGTGCAAGTTGAGGAGCTGCACTATGTTCCAGACGCATTGTCACTGCTCTAAATGATGAACATCAGCTGAAATGCAAGTTGAGGAGCTACACAATGTTTCTAATTACAGAGGAGCGTCTATCTAATATAATTAGGCGCACGATGAGGAGCTGCACAATGTGTCTGGCGGATTCTTGCTGCTCTAAATGATGAACATCAGCTGAAATGCAAGTTGAGGAACGAGCTACAAAATGTTTCTTATTACAGAGGAGCGTCTTTTTAATACAATAGGTGCAAGCTGAGGAGCTGAACAATGTTTCTGACGCATTCTCACTGCTCTAAATGATGAACAACAGAACAGGACAGGACTAAGTGTGGGAAGCACCAACACATCGCCATTGGCAGAACTAGTGTCGCTCCTTCACACTAACCGCCTTGAGAAGAACACCTCCACAGGGCGTACTTACGCCACGCATCGGTGTTAATTGAAACGTTATTATTAGGGCATAGAGAACTTGTGAGCCGGGCGATACAGTTGCGGATGACAGTGACATTACAATACAATACCATATATTACAGTTGAACAGCTGAAATGCAATTTGAGGAGCTACGCAATGTTTCTGGTTATAGAGGAGCTTCTATTTAATACAATAGTGCAAGTTGAGGAGCTGCGCAATGTTTCTGACGCATTCTAACTGCTCGAAATGATGAACATCAGTTAAAATTCAAGTTGAGGAGCTGCACTATATTCCTGACGCATTCTCACTGCTCTAAATGATGAACATCAGCTGAAATGCAAGTTGAGAAACTATACAATGTTTCTAATTATATAGAGGAGAGTCTATCTAATGCAATAGGTGCAAGTTGAGGAGCTGCACAATGTTTCTGACGCATTGTCACTGCTCTAAATGATGAAAATCAGCTGAAATGCAAGTTGAGGAGCTACACAATGTTTCTAATTATAGAGGAGCGTCTATCTAATACAATAGGTGCAAGTTGAGGAGCTGAACAATGTTTCTGACGCATTCTAACTGCTCCAAATGATGAACATCAGCTGAAATGCAAGTTGAGGAGCTACGCAATGTTTCTAATTATAGAGAAGCGTCTATCTAAAACAATACGCGCACGTTGAGGAGCTGCACTATGTTTCTTACGCATTCTCACTGCTCTAAATGATGAACAACAGCAGAAACGCAATTTGAAGCTACACAATGTTTTTACGCAATCTCACTGCCGACTAGACAGCCTTTAAAACAGAATCAGAAACATCTTTCCTTCCGCACCACTTGAGTAAGATCAATTGCACTCTTCACAAGGGGAACGAAAGGATTAATTGGAGGAGGTAAACTTTACTGGCTGTCCGGTATGGCAATTTCATTTTTAATTTTCACAACTTTTTGCATAAAAACTTCTTGCGTTTTTAGTCTTCTGATTTGATTGTAACTAGTATAATTTCTCCAAAAAGAATTTGATCGCACTGGAATTAACTTTTCATATAAACACGAACTTTTCTGCTGTATAATTTGTTCAATAAGCTCATTCTCGGTAATTACTAGTAAAGCGTCTATTGGGGATGTCTTAGCCCCCACAATTAATTTTAGAACATGGTTTTGGATAGTCTCCAAATCTGTCATTATATTATTACAACACGTTTTAAGTGCTTCAGAGCAATAAGTCAAAACAGGATTGACATCATTGATAAACAAACATATTATATGTCAGGTTACCGGTATCTCTACCACAACGCCACTGAACTCCAGCTACTCTTTTCAAAACTAACGACTTTTTCCTTGCACTTCTTATGACCTCCTCTATGTGTTCCCACCATTAATAAAATTATTAAATAAGGTCGTACTCCTGACTCCGCCCTGTTGTAATCCTAAATAAGATTGTCTGAATTTTGAGGTAGAGTCTCCATATTTAGCAGCAAAAAAGCGTTGTTGTGATAAATTTCTTAGCCATAGAAACAACTTCCCCTTTACGCCTGAGACCTGTAACTTTTCGTACAATTTAATAATAATTTATTAGAAGAATCATATCAGAAATAAATTTATTCTTTTCTCGATAAAACTTGTTTTGACAAACATTTAATGAAATTTTAATACCAATAAAAATTCAAAACTATTAATGTTTACAAATGTAATTCTTAATACAGTTACAAAACTAAGCGAATCTTATTGCAATCACGGAGCTTTGAAGACCAACAGAAATCCAATACTGAAATCCAAACAGACAAAACCTCTCTCTTTCAAACTCATCATTAGCTGATGAAATTCTTTTTCTTCTTCTGGTGATTTCCACTCACTGCTTATCTCAATGAATATTTCCAAGAACTTTCATGCCAAATTCGACGAGATTTAATTTTTTTTTTTAAATTTTGAAATCATCACAGTTCTTTCTGTAAATTACGCTTAGAGTCTTGAGTTATTTCAAGAAATTTTAAATCCTAAATTCTAAAAGTTCAGTTATCATGCATGTATTTCTGATCTAATAACTTAGAAGTTTTACAGTATGTTCATCATATATTTCAGTTAATTTTTCCTCCCATACTATAAGTTTTCTTTAATCTATCTAAAGGGTATGGAATCAGCAACTTCTCTCCAAAATTACCAACAATTCCTTTTTCTACAGTTTAAACTAGGCAGCAAAAGTAGAATGACATATGTTGAGGCAGAGTAAGATGGGGTATTGCTATATCAAGCAAAAATACGCGACATAACTTTTCATACTATTTTTAAATAAAATTTCATTAAAAAAATTAAACAACTCCATATGTACTTTAATTAATTTCATTAAACAGAATAATTAACTTTATTCTGATGCATATAATGTAACAGTATTGAGAAATTGTCATCATAGTCAACAGAACTGTAAGAGTTCCATTAGCAAACTCTTCTGCAATGATAGTTCTTTTGTGATTTTGAAACTTACAGTTAATAACAGAATTAGTTCACTCACCAGAAGTTTATGATTTGACACCAAACTTCTCGTCCGATAACCCCGATAAGCAGCCTGAATTTTTGTAGCAGCTTCATTGTATGCAGATTCATCAAGATTTTCAAAATTCTTTAAGCAAAAAAAGAAAAGAAAAAAGGAAAGAAATTATTGCATTTTAAATGCCTGAACATTACTTACATTAACTATTTTTCAACACTATCACAAAACACATTACAGTTTTTTCTTTTCTTAATTCTAATTTTTGATACCTTTAAGAGTTCGTGTATATCTGTTAAAACTCCTTAGCTGATACAATAGTTACTCTAAAGATATCATATTCGCTAAATATATCATATTTCATCTCTGGTGAATAAAGCCTATAGTCAGTGAATTAAATACCAATTCATCCACGATACTCATGACTTAACTCAGACATTTGATAAGCAATAACAATAACACAGTACCTTTTAATCACATGCAGCTTAAGTATAAGAAAATATTTTTGATAGTTGTATGGTTCCTTTGCAATATATTTTCCAGCAAAATAGGAAAAGACACAGTGTATCAATATTCATAATATTAACTGAAACAAACAATATAAAGGTAAACTGAATATTGAAGAATAAAACCACACACTTAAAAATATACTAGGTTAGTTAATTCTGGCAGAGGTTTCATGGACAGCCAGTTCACTTGATAAACTGGAATTTAAATGACGTCCCATTTCACCTTTTCTGTTTTTTCCCCACTATTTCCATTCTCTTGTCATCCTGCTTCCTGTTGGTTTTTATCTGTAGTTACGATATAGCAACAGTGATGCAAATGATGCAGCAAATAGCGATACAGCAAATGATTCAACGTAATATCTACAATTTTCATCTACTACTCAGTTATTTTAATTTAAGAAAAACTATACAAATGTATGAAAGAGTGATGGAAATTTTTTTTTCCAAAATTACCTAGTCCTATCTTCCCCCACTTCTCTAATTTTAAGACTAATTTTATAGTGGGTTTGCTCAGCAGTTTATTCCAATTTATTTTCAAGTGCCACACTTCCTATGTTTAACTCAAGGTATGCTGTTTTTGTTAATGTTATTGCCATTATTAGTCATTAGTCCAAAGGAGAAATTTGCCCTGAATGACTATTAATTTAGTTTTGGCATTTTTCATTGAAAACTATAAACGGCGAATCACTTTTCAAATTGTTGCCAGCAAATATTAGAACCCTGTATTATATTTAAAGAAATTAAATAATTAAGAATCTGCATGAATTTATGCATGTTCCTCGCACTATGGTAATAGGACAGTACCTAGAGCCATCAAAATTTGAATAACGAAATCTTCCATAGAATATGGGCATGTGGAAGCCCAAATTTGGAATTTGTTTTACTATCGATTTCATATTTTGTAACACTTCAACACATTTTTGATTAACAAACTAAACGACTTCAAAGCCAGCAATGGCAACACTGTACGAAAAAAAAAAGATTTATCTCCAACGCAGGAGCCTCTGTACCGGAAATTCTAAACATATGCTCATTTAAAAATTATTTTCGATATTGCTGTTGAACTGAATTTTATGGTTTGAGTACGTAGAGCGTGATATTTAATAAATAAAGATAACACACAAAACGTTAAAAAAAAGCCCTTTTAGACGTAATTTAAAATCGGAAACCTTTCAGATTTTATTTATTTATTTATTATTTTCTTTGTTGATTATTCTCATGCTCTGAAATTATGGCTGCTAATCTCCAAGTTGTTGGAAAAGCTAAACACAACGTATGAAATCAATATCCTGAGACAAAAGACTCATCAACAATAATAGCATTAAGGAAAACAAAATATTATTAATTAAATATACAAAAATCATCCACATTCAAAAATAGACTGGGACAAAATTAATATCATCAGCAAACCTATTCAGCCTTATAAATTTTGAAGTAACATAAATTATGATTAGAAGACAGCAATAAGGAAGTGCCAATCATTCCTCCGAAAACCGCAGATGTTTGCTATTGTTGTCTTATAATCATACAAAAAACAAAACCGACCACTATTTTATTTTGAACACTATAGGTTCATCCTTTTTAATGAGAAAAAATATGCAATGACAATAACAATGATAAAATGAGGCTGCCAGAAACTGAGAGTCAAAAATAATGAAGCAATTCTTCAATTTAATAGGTATGAATATTCATTACAAATAAAAGCCTTACGTGTAGCAATTAAAGTTCAAATATTTTTCATGAATGAAGTATTTTTGCTTCTAGATAAAACATCAGCTATCCTAGTATATAATATTTAAAATATCAAATCATTAACTATCCCAAATGTTCTTTAAAATATACTGAGTGTTTTCAGAATTCTATTCTTTATCCATAAAGAGAAGATGAAACATTAATAACGAACTTAGATGGTAATTTTACATTTTGATTATTCAAAATTTAATTTTTTTAAATTTGCCCATGTATTTCAGAGTTCCATTACAGAACTCTCAACGATTTGAAAGAATAATTCAACAATTATTCTGCACCACAGACAACAGCTTGAAAACATTTGGGAAATAAACTTTGAATTAAATAACTTCCTCATAATTTGACATCTAAAATGGATTGACTTAAAACTTTATATTTTTATGATCATTTATAAAATTATTAGGAGCATAAAAATTATTACTAATAATGATGCGATGTGACGAACAAGAAACAATTGCAAAAATAAGTTAAGGCCACAGCTAAAACATTCTTTAATTAATCTATTCTAAAACTATAAGAAATCATAGAAAAAAGGGATGTAAATTATTAAATATATCTTTATTGATAAGTATTCAACGAACACATGTGTGGAATAAAGAATACCAGATAATTATGAAATTATTTATAATACCACTTATCACAGAGGGTATGGTTTAGTATTTTTTTAATTAATTAATTATTTTTGGATTACTTGCAGTTGCAGCTCAGGCAGCCCCATAAAATCCAGTTCTGTCATTAATAGAATTTGGAATACAATAATCAGTCACATAACTAATCACAAGCCTCATAAACCTATATTCAGTACATGATATAATAGTTACAATATCAAGTGCAGTTTAAAAATATAAATTTTCTGAACTGATTTAAGTTTCAAAAAGGTATATAAGCCTTTCATTGCATAATAAAAAGAATACATAGTGCTAATCCTAAAGAACAATATTGCATATCAGTTCCATTTATTCTACGACGTCAAAATATAATTTTAAAAAAGGAGCAAGAGCTTTTATTTAATAACTCAAATACCCATTTAGGATCACTTGTGGCTATGTAATCAATAGGTAAGGCTATAGCAGCTGATCCAGTAAGAGGAGATGGTAGTGATGCTCCCTCAAAATATTTGTCATTTTCCCTGTTGTAATGATCATTTTCATTAAGTACTTCTTTTGAGCCTGAAACACTGCTCATGCCGCCAAAAAGATATACTCTTCTTCCTGCAATAAATGAATAAATCAGTTAAAGATTTCGCGAAAAACCTATTTTTATATTTATTAGAAAAATTAATGAATTCATAGTTTAATATATTTTCCTATAAGAATTTGTCGAATTTCCTATAAGAATTTATTTGGCATTACAAAAAAGTCACTAAATTAAAGGATACAGTATCTGAGTTTATAAATTAAATTAACTTTCTATGTAAGGAAGCATTAAAACAATGTGTTTTATTGACAAATAAGGCATAATATTTCAAACTAAAAATGCCATTTTAAAATACTAGTGATCCGAGGGGAAGCTAGCAATAAAAAATGCTCTTAAATAATTTGAGAGAATGAAAGTAGTAAAAAATCATAAAGAATATTATTTAAAAAGAATATTATTTGATTCATTAAATTATTAATTATTTAATTATATTAAATTCATTCATAAAGAATATTATTTAATACCTTTTCCTTAACAGTGATTCTTTAAAAATATACAAACAATTACGGATAATTATACTCATTTAAACAAAGATTAACCATCCTTATTAATAATGTTCTATTCCAAGTAATCAGTTTTATATTAGTTACAGATGGGAAATGTATATTGTTGGAACACTAATCCGAAACCGCTGAATTATATTGGATAGATTACTCTGAACAAACACTTTCTAGATAATTTGTACTGGTAGTTCGGTCCGAGGTTCGAATCTCGCGAACGGGCTGGCTGCATGGGTGTTTTCGTGCTTTTCCCCATGTGTAACGTGTATACGAGCCAGTTTCCCTTAGAAAGTCCTCCACGAAGGCATCCCTCCCCTTAGGCAGATAGCCCTCGAGGCTTTGCCGTAATTAAATAACCTAATCTAACCTAACCTAGATAATTTGTTATGAAAAAGGACAATGGTAAGTGTCCCGGTTTGGAAACACACTTTTCTCTGCCTCTGAATAGGAACACGTAAATTAAATAGAATGGAAATGATTAAGAGAGCACTAAGTGGCAACAGTCTAAAACTTCGGAGCTTGCTTACATTTGATGCAGCTTGAATGCTGCTGATGAGATGTTTAAAAGATTCTAGATTAGATTAATTTCTTTTGGTATTCTAATAAACCCCCTTTTAAACTAGATTGAATGTTGATTTAAATAGAGATCCTACTGAGCCACACATGTGGAAATTAGGTGGTATTTAGATACATTGTAGAACTTTGTTAGATACGCCATGCCATTATTGTCATTGTGTAAATTTTGGTGCAACTGCTGGGGAAAAGGATTCAGAAGAAAATTTAATGACTATTTAGTGATGTATTGTGAAGAATTGTAAGTGTTAAGATTTTAATTCCATTAAATAATACCTTTGAAAAGATAAGAACATTTTTTACATTTTGATTTCAAGATCTTTGCATGTTTATCATTAATTTCAGTTTACTAAGATTTATAATTTTATATAAAAATATTAATAAAAGATATTCCTTTCAGTATTCTTCGTACATGTATTTTATTACTAAATGCAATATGCATCTGTGATTCAATATCTCCATAATAATTTCAATTAGCTGTTACAAGTAATCATGTCAAGTAATAGTAATTCAGAACAGCCTTTTTACTTTTTAAGCTGCAATGTATAAAATAATCTTAAATAAAAAAAATTATCTAGTGGCCATGAACGAAAGCATAATGAGCTTAGAAAATTATACTTCGCATTATCACAGTGATGTTACACTTTATAACTGACGTTTCAATAAGAAATAAATGAATATTCGAAATTGCAATAATGATAATTCCTATCTAATCCTAAACTAACAAGCATCTTAATTCGGGACAAATTTTATGAGCAAATAATCCAGACACCTAGAAAAATGCTCCCTGATAAAATAAGGGGAAAATGGAAGAGGTATGGAATTTAAAAAAATTTTAATGAAAAAATAAGATACAGTGATATATTTCTAAAGTTATGTACATTAGAAACATTAAATACTAGAAAATACAGAACTTACCAAATTTAGCTGCAGCTGCAGCATGTTTTGGCGTACCAATAGCAGCATGTTGCTCCCAATTTGTAATTTCAGGGTTATAAACATAGACTGTATTTGTACTGACTGGTAAACCTTCTTCACTTAATGCATCTTTTAATCCACACCATACCCATAATTCATGCTTCAAACTAGCAGCACAACTGAATGCTCGAGGCTCTGGCAGCAATATTTTACGATAATATCTACATAAATTTTAACACATAATTAATTCAATAATTAAACGTTCATTTACGAAATAAGTAAAGAAAGGTTTTGCTATGTCAGGCAATTTATAAATTTTATAAATTAATATATCAGAATTGATTTACATGGAAGAAAAAATTTCATTTGCAAGAAATTTCTAAATCATTTTGAGTTGCAAAATTCAAATGATACTTACATAAATTCATTTTTAAATTTTATGAAATATGGAATTTAAAATAAAAGTACTTAAGTTATTAAATAAAAAATAATATATACAAATTTAGTGTTAGAATTTTGATAAATGGTAACATTTTACAAATAATATAAATAAAAACATTAATACATGTGGTAAAAATCGAACCGTTTTTAGCCCCAACATTTCCAGCTGCTTTAATTCTGCATCCTGTTTTTTTTGTATTCAAATCATTTCTCCAATTCCTTTTCTAAAAACTGGCTGTCTTCAATTTCACAAGGACTTGAATAATTTCAAAAATGAGTCTTTTTATACCAAAAACATGTCATACATGACTTTCACAAAAATGTCATTTTCCAATTTGATATGCTTACATACTTTTGCATTATTTTTTTAATTCTTAATATTAGTTTCTTTTACTTATATGGATACATCAGTTTTGCATTCATTTGATAAAGAATATTCATGTATAAATTTATTACACTGATTCATAATTTATGGATTACAAAAAAATATTTGGTAGTTTGTGAAGCATTTTTAAATGATTTCATTATACCATTGCATGCGCTGGAATATAGTAATTATGGTACTTAAGGGGGTAATATCCTATCGACTGTGAAAGTTAGCTACTCTCGAACCATAGAAGTTAGCGGAGATTGAAGTTGCATTAATCATTCCTGTTGAATTATGGAAGAACTTGAATAAACAATCAATATTCAACCTTGTTTTTTTGTTCTGAGTAAAAACTTTCATTGATTTCTGTTATTGTGATTGGTCTTCCAATTTTACCGGAAGCTCAGTTTGGATTGATATAAATACAAACTCCCCGCAGATTATTGTTCCAATCTATTTGTGTTTTGTCGGCTGTATTTAGCTGGCCATATTGTGAACATGTTTTTGACAGGTATAATCCCATATCTTCAAAAATAATAAACTTCTTCCCTTTCTGTAGAAGCCAGGACCTAATTTTTAATCCTTTTCTTTTTTAATCAAAATGCAGGAAAAAATACACCAATGAAAGTTAATTTACACTGGTTATCATAAATTAGGGAAAAATCACAAAAATCACGATTACTGAAAAGTTACATGTAGAATTTAATGAAACGTACCCACAATATACAACACATAGTAACGTATCAAATAACATAAAAAGAAATTACCAGACAAATATGGTAGTATAGAAAGCACATTTAGCACATATATAAAATGAACAAATCGAAGGTGTCGGTTTGCTATAGGAAACGTACCTTCAATATGAAATATGATTACCTCTAGAAGCAATACAGCACATACAGCGATATGTGATGCTTTCAATTATGCGGTCTATCAGTTCCATAGGAAGCGAGAGCATTGCTCTTGCAAAGCAGTTGCAAGCGCGAGAAGGGTTTAAGGGGGCGGATTGAGAGCAGCTAGACGTCTCCCTATAGCATCCCAAACGTGCTCGATAGGATTCGAGCTGGCTACTCCATGCGCATAATTGTTTCCTGTTGAAGATAATCATCTACGATGCGAGCCCTGTGTCGTCTTGCGTTGTCGTACTGTAACAGGAAAGCATCACCTATTGCCCCGGCATATTAGGCGCACATAAACATCAAGGATGTCATCTCTCTAAATCTGAGCATTCACGGCTTCCCTTGGAAAGACATTGAGGTCTGTGCGTCCACCCAAAGAGTTGCCACCCCAAACACAAGCACTGCCCCTTCCGGATCTCTTTCACGAATGTTGGACGGATGATAACGGGTTCTAGGTTCTCTTCATATCAAATAACACCTACTATCGCTTTCTAGACTAAACCTGGACTCCTCCGTAAAGAGAACCGCCCTCCATTGATCAGGCGTCTAGTGGACATGTTGTCGTGCCGACTGAAAACGGTCCCTCCTATGGCGTGACGTGAGCGGCACACAAATGGCTGGTCGCCTTGCATACAGACCACCTTCGTGAAGCCTTCTACGCATTGTTGACGTTGACACGAACCTTCCGAGGGCTGCAGCAAGGGAGGATCTAAGAAGAGTCGGAGTAGCGGTTCTATTCCCGCGTGCACATAATGTCAAATATCGGTCATCGGCGCTCGTCGTAGCAGTTGGCCGTCCTTGACTGAGCCTCCTAGATGCCGAATCTGTGGTTTGAAATTGCCTCCAAAGTCTATGAACCACAGAAGGACTCCCATTTAGCCATCTGGCCACTTCTGTTTGACTTTGTCCTGCCTCTAGTCTCCCAATGGCTCTGCATCGCAGTTCTGCAAGCAAATAATGCCTGGAGGTTATTGTTACGAATTGGCTATCTCAGATTTCTGATGTAACTGTCACAGTGAAATATGTGGGCTTGCTCTCAAACATGGACTTTTATGCTCCTCGCAGATGACGTATTCCGAAAGCAGCGCCACTAATTTGCATATCGCAGTTTTACTCGGCTACTCTTACTTGGCAACATATTCTAATTTTACACGGTTTGGCTTATTTTTGAGGGAGTTATCGCTATTTTTGTGATTTTTCCTTAATTTATGATAACCAGTGTATATTCGTGTTCATAAAAACCAAACGTGGCTTATTGGGTTTACATCTAAGGGAAAACCGCAAGTGCTGTGAACTCGTTGTTATATCCCGTTTATCTGTAACTGGCTCTAAATTGCACTGTTTGGTGGAAGTTTCACGGTTGACGGGATAATATGTAATTACTGTAGTTATTAATTAATATATGTTTTTGTCAATCATTATTAATGAATTTAAAATTATTATTCACTTTTCTGTATTATTATTATTTAATTTGTCTGATATATTTTCCTTCGTTCCCTTACTTCACAGCAACCTTAGCTTCACAGCAACTTCATGTGTGTGTGTATTGCAATGCTAAGAAGTTTGAAAACCACTCTATATTATATAATAAAAAATCATTACGTATATTGTCTATAAATTATACCTCTGTTGCTGAGTATCAAAAGTATATACATGGTTTGACACAGTATATCTGGAAGAATGACCTTCATTTATTATTCCACCAACTATCCAAACACAACCATCTAAGACTGCTACTGACATTCCCATAATTGCTTCTGGCATCGGCTTAGCCAGTATCCATTGATCTCGTTTTGGATAATAAACTTCAACTGTTGAAAGCAACCTGAAAAGTTAAATACGTGCTTCAAATAAAACAAAAAAATATAAAAATGAAATTCTAAAATTACAGGTTTCATGAACAGGGTAAATCGGAAAAGAAACATACTTCCCAGAAGCATCTCTTCCCCCAAAAACCATTACATTTTCATCAACTACACAAGTTCCATGACATGCCCTTGCCTGATGCATATCGGCTCTTCTTCTCCAACGTTTAGAGCGGACAGTTAATTGGAATGTAGTTTGAGTAGAAACCATCTGGCCATGAATGACATGGAGAGGGCTATAACCTCCTGGAAGAAATTCTCAGCTTAGTACTAGGATTTCTAGATTATTCTTGGTTATAAATTAAATATCATCTTTTGATCACAATCAATGATCATAAATTCAGCTAAATGACTAAATTTAGGTAATCGAAGTTAACATTCATCATATTAATTGTTAAAATTATACAGTTTGCAGTATACTGTTATAAAAATTTCTGATTGAACTAAAAAGGATGATGATTTTAATAATGAATGAGCACATTGATGCTCTTTAAAAAAACATTTAGAAATTCTCATTGGTCATTAATCTACTTGAACTAAAATTTAATGGCTTTACTGACAAATTAAGGGTTTCTTTTTTGCATTCCCCCCCAAAAAAATCGCAGTTTTATCACAAAAATAATATTTTTGAAAGTATGAACACAGAATCCTAGAACATCAAACGCATATATTATAAGGTATTTCTCCCACCTTCTAAGCGTGCCTTCGTAGTGTAGTGGGCTGCAGGCTGGGCGCGTATTCCAGAGCTCCGTGGTTCGATTCCCTGTGAAGACGTTGCTCATTTTTCATCTTGCTTGTTTCCAAAATACCTAATGTCTCTACAGTGGCGCCCGAACTAAAAGGGTGGTGGATAATGATTCTTCACACCCAGAATTTGGGCGATTGGGTTCCCTGAAACCCCAGTCGCCCTTTAAAAGGGGAGTATAAAAGGTATTTCTCCCGCCTTCTTAGCGTGTCTTCGTAGTGTGGTGGTCTGCACTCTGGGCGCGTATTCCAGAGGTCTGTGGTTCGATTCCAGGCGAAAGCGTTGCTCAATTTTCCCTTCTCCTGCTTCCAAAAAATACCTAATGTCTCTAGAATATTTCCCAAGAAAATTTATCAAAAATTATTAGATTGTTTTCTATTACAGGAAAAGAATGTTACTTACTAAAGAAAATTAAATTAAAGAAAATTACTTATGGAATGAAACGTAGATTTTATATAGAATTCTATATTGAAAAAAAAAATGACAGAAATTGCAATACTTTGGTACACTATATAATATAAACCTATTAAACAGAATTTTATGCTTAATAATTCCAATATTTTCTGCAGATATTTATCAAACAGAAATAAGAGTCCAAGAAATAAAAACATAAAAATAATTTATTTATATATAAAAAATTCATAACATTAAAGAATATAAAAGAATCACATTTTATAAATATTAATAATAATAATAATATAAATAATAATCTATCTCATGTATATCAAATCTTCACTTCTGTACTAAATAATAATAATGAAAATTTTTAAAATATAAAAGTATGCAAAATATAAACTTTTTATAAAATATAGAAACTCCATCGAATTTCATAGGATACTAGTTGAGTGCTTGTTGATTTCGGTAATTGCTGACACATCAAATATAATATGCTAGTGCCTTTTGGTAATGAAACCGGTTTTATGAATTTCAGCAGTATTACTTACAACTGCCTTCAAAATGACATCATTTGCCATCCGCCCCTCTCTATGAGTTCTGGTAAGTAAGAAGCAAAATAATAATCATCTGTATCCCGTTGTCACATATTCCTCCACTCGGTACTTATGTATTGGTAACTATTTGGTAACTCGGTACTTATGTATTGGTACTATTTTATTTATGTATTAGTGTAACTATTTGGTTCAGTTGGGGGATTTTTATAGAAGAAAAAGAATGACAGTGCTTATGATTGCAAAAAAACGTTTTTATATACGTATTATTAAATACGTAGGTTGGGGCAAAAGTCATGGCAACTATTTTTTTTCTTGAAGATACCAGTCCGGTTGGAAAATGTGACATATACAAACGAAAGGACAAGGTCTTAACTACATGTGTCGACAATGAATATCGTAACATATCTAACACACGAATATCGTAACACACAAAACTAAGTATCGTAACGCACGAATTTATCACGGTAGTATACAGGGCAATATGGCCTTCACCGTGCAAAAGAATGCTAACACAATACACATAAAGTTGACATGACAAACCTGGGCCTAAAGACCCTTCAATGTAGTCCTCTTGCTACTGTCACCACACGCTGCCAACGATGTGGGAGGAGCTGAATACCATCAGCTTCGGTATTTGCCGCACCATGTGTGAATCGGGCCATCTGCTGGCGCACAGCATTAGCAATGTCCTCTCATGTTGCAAACCGCCTACCACGTATTGGTTCCTTAATCTTAAGAATGAGATCAAAGTCACAGGAGAGTGCAGTTGGGTGCTCCAATTCTTCCCATCACCAACGTCGGAGTAGCTGCCGTACACACTCTGCTTTATGTGGTCTTGCATTGTCGTGCAGAATTATTGCACTGTCCACAATCCCGAACGCCACGTCGTACCTGTCGCACTAGGAAGTCCCTGTAGTACTGCGCGGTCACTTCCATGTCGGTCCGCACACTCACCGGTCGTTGCTCATCACCGGTTGACACACGTCCTTGCTGAAACTTTCCTACCCACCGTGCTACTGTACGATATGGTAGGGCATTATTCCCAAGAGCTTCTACTAATTCACTGTGACATTCCATCGCATTTTTAACTCGGAGAACGGCTGTTTTGATGTAAGCGTGCTGTTCAACACGGATTACTTCCATCTCGCACGACACTCACCAACTGAAGTGATTTCAGAGCCCTCGCTACCACAGAGTCAGCTCTCACAGAGGCATCTGTTGTTCTGCATACACACTATGCCTGCAGAACTTCCATACGACACATATACGTTTTGTGATCCGTTCACATGTCTACAAGAAAAAAATAGTTGCCATGACTTTTGCCCCAACCCTCGTATGTATCTTACATTTGAATTAGTTACTTAATTCAATCATTAAACCTACATGAAAAGTGAGCATTTATTTCCTTTGTCCTGATAGTGGGAATTTTGTGGCTATCGCTTTAAGAATAAATTCAAAGGAATTATTTCTTTTAACAATTCTGCAGCAAAACGGTATTCCTATAACAATGGTATTACTCTTTCTTCCACTGCAGGTGAATATCATGAACCCATGTTTTAAAGCTGATATAAGGCAAAAATATCACAGTTTGCGTTTAAAAATAGTTGGAACTTGGAATATAGCTAAAAGGATGCATACAAAAATGGAAATGTTGCTTCCTTTAAGCAGAAAAACACATGGTTGCCAGAGTTTGATGTATTCTGAAAATTTAACAATTTCTATTCCATGGTTACAATAATATGTAAGTACCATTCATTTTACTAATTCCCATATGCATTTTAGTGGTTGCACGTGAATGCCAGTCTTGGGATTGAAGATGACATTGAAATATTTAAAAAAAGATATTGTTTTGTTACTGGGACCAGATTCAGAAATGTATGAATGTATGCGCGTATGTATATGTGTATGTGCATATAGGTGCATACAGACACATACATCCGTGCTTACACATGTGCATACATACATGAATACATACATGCGTACATACACACATTTCTGGATCCGGTCCTGATAACAGAACACAGTTTCAAAAAAAAAAAAAAAAAAAAAAACCCTCATTTCCCCTTACCACTATGAAAGACAGAAAAACTGCTAAATTTAAAGAAAAGAAAAAGAAATAAAGACCTCATCTTTGTAGCTGAATTTCGAAAGAGCTGCTGAATACTCCCCAAAATCAGTCATGGGTGGAACTTTTAGTGATGTATCAGCAAATATCAGATAACAGAAAAGTAACCATAATTTTTGCTCTGGGATATCTGCCAATAGAGGTCATGAAATGTATACATACCTGTGATGTATACTTTTCCATTTAAATAAACAGCTCCATGATAATTTCTAGGCTCAGGCATAGTACCAGCAAAATAATATTTATCCTTACGCACATTATAAACAAGCATGGCACTACCTAAAAGGAAAATAATAAATGAATAAATTCTTTAAAAATATGTTAAACACATTTTTTGAAAAAAAAATTCCCACATGCCCTCCCCCTCTCCAAAAACATATAACGCATCAATCAACCTTTACTTTAGCTCTCATCATACTGAACCATTTATAATAAATAAATATAGCCTATAAATCAGTAAATTCATATACATCAAATAAAAAATCCTTTTTTGGCAGACATACAGTAATAAGACAGTTTCTTTTCAGTTTCTTTATCAGTAAATCTTTTTGCATGAATATTCCATTGAATGGGTATAATTTCATGAACCACAACAAAATTAAAATTAGAATATTAATAAAAATCTGTTTGATTCAAAATTGCGCACAAAATAATATTTTTTCTAACAGGAGGAGCAAAACTTTTTATTTCCCAGATTTAGCAACAATTAATAGAGGTTATGTTCCATAAGAAACGGATAATTTTTACAGAAAAATTTTCTGTAAGAAGCTAAATCATATTTTTATTATAAATGAAAAAAATCAGAAGTATTTCTTTGAAAAAGGGACGGGGAACATAAAAAAGAAGAGAACTTCACCTAGAAAATAATCTTTAGCCTGAGCAGGATTTATTCCACCAAATAAAACCACAGTTGGAGATGTTTCAGTCTGCAACTGATTCACAGATGTTACATCATCAGAAAACTTCTGTTTTGACTTTAGTTCTCTCAAAACATAATTTCTAAAATTAAAAAAAAATTAATAGCAATTAAAAAACTGTTGTTAAAACTAAATAATATTTTTTACAATATATTATTAATAAATATTACTTAATTTGTCATTCTGTCATAAAAATGAATATTAATGTCTTGTATAATAAATTTCTTTAATTCAGTCACTTATTTTAGATTATTTGAAATATATTCTTTCTGGGTTACAATATATTAGGTACCAATAAAAAATGACGTATAATACAGGGTCTTTATAAAGTCTCTATACGTTTTTGAGAAATACGTTCTAATTCCAATTTCTTTGGAGGCGACCTGAAAGAATGCTGTCAACACAGGAAAGAATAGCCATTGTTTGTGCCTGTCCACGTGGATTAACGTATCAACAAGTGCAGAAGGACTTCGCCCGCAAATTCAGAAAATAAGCCCTACCAGAGCAGCTATTAAAACCTTGGTAAACGAATTCAAGAGACCTGGTAGTGTTAAAAGTGAAGACCCTTTCTGGTAGACTTTCGATAACGCTACAGGTTGAGCAAGGCATACAAACAGCGATTACGCGTAGCCCCAGACATCTACACGAAGACTCGGCCGGAAACTCGGTATTTCGCACATTACTGTTTAGAAAACTCTACGCTGTCATTTAAACAAGGATGCCTACCGCATTCAAACTGTGCCACATTCCATCTCAGCCAAGGACTATGGTATGGCTTGAAGGCAAGGACTACGCAGTTCGGCAAGCCATGTGTTATGATTTGTTGGAAGCTGTGAATAATAAGAACTAAATAGAGAATTTAGCGTCGAAGCCACATTCCATCTCAGCGGCCACGTTAATAGGCATAATTGCCGAATGAGGGCTCATGAACAACCAAACGTGTTATATGAATCTCAGGGAGACACACGTTAAGTCAATGTATGGATTGGAATAACTAAGCTCTGTGGATCTTTCATGTTTGCAGAAAGGACCAGCACTGGAGAAATTTATCTCGATATGTGACAGGAATATCTTAAGCCACAGCTAGTATCAGATGGCATTATTGACACTGTTATCTACCAACAGGGATGGGACACTTCTCCATTTTGCCTTTATTGTGCGTAATTATCTTAATGAAACTTTTCCTAATAGGTGGATTGGTCGAGGGCTTTCAATGGCTTCGGGCTCCACAATCACCAGACGTAACTTACCTAGACTTTTTCGTATGGGATTTTGTCCCATACGAGTCCAAAGTATACGAGTGAAGACTGGCACCATTGAATAATTAAAACGGTGAATTATGGTTGCAGCAGATAAAATTACAACAATAACTTCACATAAAGTGTTCCGGAGTGTAGTGGAATAGTGGCAATTGTGCCTAGACACTCAGAACGGCCACATTGAATTTTAGTAATTTAGTGTTCTTAGACACAATAACACGCCGAATACTAATTCAGAAGTCAAACAACAAAAATCAGCGTTATACCTACAAAAATTTTTCACAGGACTAGTTTCGATGGTTTTACCGAACCATCATCTTCAGCTGCAAAACCGCAAATGAACAAGATAGGAAATAATGATTAGATAAGATAAGAAAGCCTGGACAAGAATAAGCAAGTGGCGCCATCTGTTGGCGAAACTAGAACTAAAACATAATTTCTCTAAAAGCCGAAGGCAAATTTGGATTGGAATTAGGATCGTTAACTAGAACAGAAAGATTTTTATGAATGTGAAATGCCTCTAGAAAATCCAGTTTCTCCAATGGAAGTTGTTTTTTTGAATAATTTTGGCAGCAGAAAAATTGAAAGTGTGATTTTCGGACCAACAATGTTGAGCAACAGAAGACTTCTGTGTTTCCTTTTTTCTAACATATGCCTCATGTTCTTTGACGCGAAATTTTAAGGCTCTCTTAGTTTGGCCAATGTAAATTAAACCACACTGGCAAGGAATCCTATAAATACCCCAGGAATTCATATCCGGAATGGGGTCCTTGAGTATAGAAGTTGGAATTTTATTGATGGGAGAATAAACAACCCGAAAGTTAAATTTCTGCAAAATATGTGCAACTGTATAGCTAATTGATGGAAAGAAGGGAATGACAACAGAATTTTTATAATCTCCTAAAATATCATAAATTTCGCGTCAAAGAACATGAGGCATATGTTAGAAAAAAGGAAACACAGAAGTCTTCTGTTGCTCAACATTGTTGGTCCGAAAATCACACTTTCAATTTTTCTGCTGCCAAAATTATTCAAAAAACATCTTCCATTGGAGAACTGGATTTTCTAGAGGCATTTCACATTCATAAAAATCTTTCTGTTCTAGTTAACGATCCTAATTCCAATCCAAATTTGCCTTCGGCTTTTAGAGAAATTATGTTTTAGTTCTGGTTTCGCCAACAGATGGCGCCACTTGCTTATTCTTGTCCAGGCTTTCTTATCTTATCTAATCATTATTTCCTATCTTGTTCATTTGCGGTTTTGCAGCTGAAGATGATGGTTCGGTAAAACCATCGAAACTAGTCCTGTGAAAAATTTTTGTAGGTATAACGCTGATTTTTGTTGTTTTACTTCTGAATTAGAATTTAGTGTTCTATTATGTTGCATTTTCATGTAAATCACTTCTATTTCAAAATAAAGCCTGTTTAAGCAAAAATGTATAGAGACTTTATATACATCCTAAATTTCAGATAGACGTTTAATATACAGACATGTTTTAGCTATTTCTTGATAAGAATTCAGAAATCCCTTCAACAGAAAAAACTACGAATATTTTTACTTGCTCATAAAACACTGTTCATATTCAATTGATTTACATTGAACTGGTTCTTAAAATATTTTTAGTTTACTTAACTAGCTATAAAAATTAAACTGTTATATTGGTTTAGGCAATTTATCATTATTTATAGAACGCAGTTGATGAATCAAATTGATTTTAAAATTACTTGAATCTCGCCACTGTCTTATAATACTCAAAACTCCAGTCTAATATTTAAAATTAATTTTAAAGCAATATCATAAAAAATTATGCTTTTTTATATGCAGGAATGTTACTTTTTGTTGTTTCGCTAATACACTTTATTAGCTGCTTTCGCCAAAATATATAACTTAAAAAATACAAACATATAATGATTAAACTAATGAAATAAGATAAAAGAAAAAGGTACTTCTCTGAGCTATCAAGGGTAGGTAATGGGGCAGTAAGTCCAAGATTTGGATCAGCATTTGTTGCTAAACCTGACAAATAAACATCATTGATAGTGGATATAGATTCACTTGGTAAAATAATTTCATCCTGTATGTAGCGGTGAGAATTAGCAAGACGTTGTTTTCTCCAGTATTGTTCCTATAAAAGAAAGTATAAAAATGTGAAAGTAATTCTGAATGGGAAACCTTTGAAGTCAATAAATAATATTCAGAACAACATAAAATTTTAAGCCAAATTATATAAGTTCTTGTTGTGACTTATCTCACTTGTCTGACAGTAGCTTCAGAACAAGCCCACGAAACTCATCGTTGCAAGGAGAACAAGACTGCCTTGAACACCATACAGGTGACAGTACAACTTTGCTCACCGTAATGAGCTACATTACCCTTAATGGTAATATTCCGTTTTGACGGCCGTAAAAAAATTGCAGCGAAAATGTATGCGCAAAAGCGCCAAATCTGGCAAACGCGCCCATTTAACAGTGCGCCAAATCTAGCGTATGCGCCAAATCTAGCGTTGATTTCAGATTGCGTAAGTTTATATAGTTCTATATTTCTTAAGACGTCATTGAAATACTAGTTTAATTTTTAAATCCTTTTTTGATATCCTATGGATTTAACAATTTGGGAATTGCCCATGACCAAAAGTCGGCAATAGAATTTTGGGTAAAGTGCAGAATCACCCACTGCTTGACGCGTTTTTAAGATTTGCACATACTCGGTATCCATGTGCACATCGACTTATTTTCACTTAAAAAAAGTACCAAAAATTGCACAAAAATGGCACTGCGCACACCCTTGACTTTATCTATGTACACATCGACCTATTTTCACTTAAAAAGTAAAAAAAAATTGACAAAAATCCAATTGTTTTTACCCTCGTAAAAAGCGGAAAACAAATAAGTGAGCGACTCTGCACTTTACCGAGAATATTTTCAAAGAAAAGGCATCATTCATTCTAGAAAATTACGTTTGAACAACCAACGAGATGAAATTACGCTTTAGTGATAAGTCGGTAGCGAAATAGCGATGCAGGCATCCATTCAGTTATGTTTAGCAATTTTTATATAAATTATAATAATAATCTGAAATAGTTATTGACTCTTATGCTTTCATTCAGTCATGTTTAGCTGTTTTTTTGTATAAATTATAATAATAAAAAAGTATTATATGAAATTAACCTTTCATCTAAATTAAAACATCCATCTTAGATAGTTATTTACTATTATACTTCCTTTCTTGCCGCAATGATTACGGTTGCCGCAATTATTTTTGGCAGCATTGGCATCAACAATAGTTTGGCGATTTTTTACGGCCCTTGAAACCGAAGAGTACCTAATTAATTAATTATTAAACTGCATACATCTAGGTGTTTTATAATTAAAGAATATATAGTACATAAAAGAACAATAAAAGAATAGACATACATGGTGAATTACTGATTACATTTCCTAATAATTTTAATATAAATTATATTATTAACAGCAGATATAAAGTTTTAAAAAAAACTCTATAAATTTAGCTTCCTCTCAGGCCTTTTGATCATTATTTGGTCTCATATTTAAATTACATTTTCCAGTTCCAGAGAAGAACACATATGTAATTAAAACTGTGTTTAAATAAAGTCTGTAATAGATTAAAGGACATGTGAAAGCAGTCACTAACTTTACTCACAAAAACTGGCAAAGGTAATTAATAACCTAATAATTTAAATATTTCAAAACGTTTATATGATGAGTTTAACTAGGAAGTGTTCTCACATTATGAAAGAATTTTACAACTGTATTTATTCAAAAGTACTTCTTACAAAAAATTTTCTAAATTCCTTGCAAAATTGCAATGTCCTACAAGTCACTCATGTTACATCAATTCCTTCACTTATATTATTATTATTGTTTTCCTTGAATGGAAGAAATGTAGTGACTATATTTATGAAATAAATAAGGTTTTGCATGAAACAAACCTGCAAAATACCCGGTATTTTAGCAAAAATATTTTTTCTTGTTTTGATTTCGAGGAGACTGAGTTTGTTCCATTACCTGTCTTTTCAATAATTGTTTTTCGCTTCTTCAATGAAAATTTAGTTGTCTTCATCAGCAATATATTAAAACGTCATGGTCACCGACGTTCTATAATTGAATTCAAATGAATAACTTCTTTATTATTTCTTTTTTTTTTTTTTTTTTTTCAGACTTAAGTCACAGAGTTTTTTTCCCCTGCCTTACCCATATCATTTTTAATTTTTTATTCTACAGCCTGCATTAACATTTTATCTGTTTGGAAGTATGAAATCGATGCAGCTAAATCAAATTTATTAAAACGACCAAGGCTTATCCACTTCAGATTATATATTAAAGCATCTACTGTTTTAGTCGCATGACAAATTTGCCGAAAAATAAATAAGACGCATTTTCCGCGTATAATATAAAACGTTTTCTTTAAAGAATGGCGTTTGATACTAGGACACCAGTTTACGCAAGAAAAAATTCCTGTTAGTGGCTATGCTTTTATATCCAATTTAGGCTTCTCTTCCGAATTAAACCTTATTTATTTCATAAATATAGTCACTACATTTCTACCATTCAAGGAATTAATTTAAAACACTGCAAGATTAAACGTTCCAAGACTATACAGTATTTTAGCCACAAATGAAACGCATATATTTAAGAAACTTTTTTTTTTTTCATTAAACAGTTTCTTCGATAATTTTTTTACGGTATTAAATTCCCGGCTGTAATTAGAAGATTTTCAAAGCGACCAGATTCCAACCTGAAACATCTTTCTGCTCGGGAAGCGAAAATCGAATGATGGTATAAAAGGAAATTATTAGTAAAAAATCTGATGTGTATACCACATGACTTCTTTGTACGGCCTATTAAATTATACACATTTTTTTGCTGCATTTCATTTTAAAATTATTTCCTCGAATTTCATTAGAGATATATTTCTCATTCAATTAATTCAGTTCTCACTTCGTGACAAGGCTTCATACGTAAAAACCCAAAACATCTTCATTAAATATCGCAAAATACCGAAAAACATAAAACACCAAATACAGTTAAAAACAGTTTAAAAAAGAATTTTTACAATTAAAATTAGAGTTTCTGCGCAAAAACAAGCTATTCGTCGTGCAAGAAGACATATTTTTCAGTGCATAAAGTTAAAAGCTTACTTTTCGTTCCATTGGGCAAAAAAGACACTGAAGTTGGGACACAAACTGACTTAATTCACCAAGTTTCAAATGTAAACAAATGGCGGCTTCGTTAACCCTTTGCGGCACAGTGTGTCTAGTCTGAACACACCTAAAAATTTCCTTCTGTATGCACAGAAAAATTGAATGAAAAAGGATTTATAGGTTATTATAGGTTACTCTGAACCTTCTTTATTTATAGTAGATGGCAGCTCAACACAAACCAGTCCATATATTTTAGCCATGTTTAGTTTTTTAAGACCCTCATTTTTCAAAGAAATCTCCCAGATTTTTTTAGGGTATAAAAGGAATTGTTTGAAAAGAAATTTCTATGTTATTTTTTGGCTGTATGCTAATCTCATTATTCTATATTAGTTTAAAATTTTTACCTTGAAATCTTGCCTAAAATCAAATGGTGAACGCTAGGTGTGCCCAGACAGGGCTCACCGATCATCTAGGACACTGAGAGTCTGTATTCTTTGTTTTTCCACATCTCATCGGTCAGTTCATTGACAAGAATGCTCGTTTCAGTACTCTTTTCGAAGCTCCATTCAATCAGTGTGCCACTTTGGGCACACCCACAGAATTAAAACGATAAGTGCTATCTTCACAAAATTTTACTTGTGTACTCCTCTAGGCCTAATTAGACTGCCTACGTTTTTTTCTTTTAATCAAAACTCCGACTTTAAAAGGTTTTGCCGGAATTGTTGATAATTCTGAAACTATTGCATGCAGATTAACTAAAAGCATAAAAACCTAAACCGGAACATTAAGAACAACACGATTAAATCACTTTAAAAGCAAAAAATATTCAACTTGTCTACACATAAGAATAGAAAAACAACGCTCACCAAGCCGGATAACAGAGTGGGAATATATATAGTTATATAAGTTTGGTGCTGCCGATTCCAACCAAAAAGGGAAGTGCACAACTACGTGTTATAGCAGTCCCATATACAAAATTTCAACGTTCTGAGGCTACTCATTTTTGACTTATGAAAGAAAAGGAAAGTAAACAAAATTAAATGAATAACACAATAAATAAGAAATAACAAAATGAAATGAAATGTAAAGAAATAAATAACAAATAAAATTAACGGAAAATAGTTAAATAATAAATTTACATGCAGAAGTTCATGTTATTTGGCATTCTGGTTGGAATTATGATTTCACTCCAAGATTGAGAAGTGCAGGCGCAATTTAAGACTTGATGTTTTGTGATCTAATGGAGTGTTTTAAGAAACTGTCAAATTTTCATTATCGTTGGATTCCTTAATTCAGGAAATTTTACTTGAGTTTTGGAAATGCAACAATAATCAAATTTGAAATTACTTCGATTAATGCATAAGAAAATAAGCTAGTGACGCCAACTGTTGATGAAACCAGAACTCATCAACAGATGGCGCCACTAGCTTATTTATTTTCTTTTACAGAGGAAAAGGATATTTTTATTACTTACTTTTTTCTTCCAGAATTCTTTTCGACTCAAATAGCCTCTAAAGGCGGCTTGAATTTTTGTTGCAGCCTGATTTAATGTGACTCGATCACGAAGATAAGGATCTCGACTGTTTCTTGCTTGCAGTGACGCTTTTCGCTAGGAGTAGGGTAGAATTAGGCTCTTAAAATAAGTAAACAAATAACAGAAGTGATAAAAAGTGGAAGAATAAGTAATCGATTTTAAGACTCAGTTGATTGAAAATATTTCAATGTCAGGTAAATTTTACTTAATAAACAAACTGGTTTCTTTTAGGCACTTTATATACATCCTTTCCCCCTTCTTTAAGTTCATGAAGCTTTAAGCATCTTAACAAATATTACAGATAAAGAGTTAATAAATATCGCTGTTTAATATGTAAGGAATTCATGTTTAATGAGAAAACTCTTAAATGTTATATTGCTGTTGCTAACAATAGCTGATATTTAAATCAAAATATTTAATCCTCCATTGTTAACAACAGACGCATTCTCGGCTATCGCCTTGACCCCATCCGGAGGAGTAAGGACGACTTGCAGAAACACAATGGTTGGCTATTGCAGTGTGTATAATTGTCAAGAAAAAGTTGGTTGTAGCGCCTCATTTCCCAAATTAGAATTTTTAGGTATTTTTATTTTTGAAACTGAGATTGATTTGTAAAAATTCAGCATAATTAAAGTTCCAAATAATTATAAAGCTGTTGCATGCTTTCGGGCCTGGCTATTTTTTTAGCTTTTCCTATGCTGTAAGGAAATTTGTAACTACTTCTTTTAGAAAAAAATATTTTAAATCTGAATTAATAGAAAATTTCAAACGAAGAATTTTCTCATATAATTTTTATTGGTGTAAATAAGTAAAAAATACCTAAAAATGAATTTCATGTGAATATTATAGCATTTTTTTTTTTTTTTTGTTTTTTGTTGTAAAGGAGTTTTATTTCAATTATATTTCACAATACATCATAGTGACTTCGACATTAACACCTTAATAATTTTTATACATTTATTCTAATGTCAAAATTGTAAACTGTAATAATTGATTGTGCTAACATTTTATAGTGATTATTTTTTAAATTTAATTCTAGTTCTGCATAAGATTATTTATTTACTGTGTGAATTTAATTTATTAGCACAAAGGGGCGGTAGTCCAGAAGGGCTCTCAGTTCCGAAACGGCATTTTTTACGGCTGTTTCATTATAAACGTCCGTTTCACTTTGCAAATTGTTGCCACCAAATATTATCGCCTTGTATTATATTTAAAGAAATTTAATAATGAATAATCTGCATGAATACATGTATGTTTCTCGCACTATGAAAAAATGACGGTATCTATGATTATGAAAAAATGACGGTAGAGCCATCAAATTTTGAATAACGTAATCCTCCACCCGAACAGCCGAATTTCGAACTTGTTTGAAATTGATCAGCGCATTGAAAAACAAAAATTTCATTGGTATGACACATACGACGAAAATTGTCGGTTTAAAACATTTGCAATAAAGAACATTGTAAAGGACCAATAATAATCCAACAGAGGAGAGAGAAAAAAACTTCTCTCTCCTCTGTTGATAAAAAATATTATATTGTCAATAAAAATATTATATTGGAATTACACATTTTTAACGTGTACAACATTTCAAGTAGAGACAAATCCCGTAACTTTGCAGTTTCGTTAACCCCGATCTGCCGACCTCTGGATTTCTGGTTCTGGGGTTATTTGAAATCTAAGGCGTACATAGTAAATCCACCATATTTGTCGAATTGAAAGATGCTATAAAACGTGAAGATATACAGATTCTTCCTGCAATGTTACGTTCGCCATTGTTAACAATAATCTCTCGCAAGGCATGCGTTACTACCTGTGAAAGTATGCACATTCAAAAATTGTAATTCGAATAAATTCCCCCACACTCTCCTCTCTTGTGTTGTCCGTTAAAATGCTCTTCTTTGCAAATATTTAGGCCAGCAGTGTTTTCCATACTTATTCCAACGCCATTTATGGCTTTTCGATGCACGGACCAGTTTGCGCAGGAAAGAAGTGGGTATTGCTATTCAAATATTTAAAATTTTTTTTCTCTGTAACTGTAACAGTGAGAGATCTATTGTTTTTAATAATCACAATATATCTTCAAGCAACAATATGTGAAATTTCATTTCGATTGGTTGAACGGATAAACCGCTACTAATTAATACATCGGAGAAATTCTTTTATAACCACCCTGTATTCTAACTCACTGGAAAGCGAAATATAATTTTTTAGTTATTTTAATATTCTTGGCTATATGGTACTGCAAATAAAATCGTGGTAGTCCCATATAAAAAGTATATTAGGATATTTACATAATTTTATAGAACAGCTGAAGTGATGACATAGAAATGATATATGTAAGAATCATTACCTTAAACTCATTTAAATTTCTCTTTGACGGTATTTATTTAAAATCCGTCATTACTGACAGTCCTGTAATTTTATTTTGATTCACATATGTGAATATGCAAAAATGTAGTGATAACTAAAAAAAATTTTTTTTATCTCTTAGCTCATTTGGTAGAACTGTCAGTTTTAGAAGAATGGTAAGTACGTTTATAAGAAACTAAGCTTTTCTACATTTAAATAAATTTAATTATTTTCTGCATTTATTTATACAACCTATTAATAATAATCAACATTTATTTTTCTATACAACTTAGTTGTACAGTCAAAAGTCGTTAATTCGGACACCCATAATCCGGACCTCAAAGCTACAAACTTTCTGCGCATGGGTCGCATTGACGCATGCGCGTAAGACCTTTACGGCTGCGAATATGCGTGTGCGCAAAATACGTTTACGAGTGCGCGTTTAATGTATAACGGACGGTATAAGCTAAGCTAAAATTATCTAATTATCTTTTTTCAGTTAATGTTGCAGATTGCGTTGTTCCTTAATCTTCGAATTGGATTCGGCTTATTATTTTTTGCAGACTGTTAGAGCAATTTTATAAAAGTAAGCTTGAACTTTCGATTATGTCAAATAGAATTTCTGATATATATTTACTAATATGTAAAGGATCTACAAAGTGAAAGTATGTTTCGAAGCAAATTAAACAAAAAGTGGAATTCCTGCAAAAAATGGATAAAGGCATATCCTTTGTTTATCTAAACTTTGTTTATCTTTAAAGCTGTGGCGCGCAATGAATTGGAAGTTGATCTGTCAGCACTATCCTTATCTTCAGGGCAGATGTTTTTATTTTATTTGGCTTATAATTCCTTGCGAAATGTAGTATTTCATCCCGTCTTTGATATGATTTAAATCAAATTCCTCGTCATTATAATTCGCTTCCGATAACGAAGAAAGTGACAGAGGTTATTGAAAACGAAAAAATTTCCATTGACAAATTAGTCGGTATACACAGCAATTATAGGACTTGAACAGCGGAACTTTGTAACTCAACAAGAAATTATGTCTGTTTATAGAATTAAAGAGAATGTATTATCACATAAAAAACGAAGCAACTTAAACAACTTACATTGAAAGAAATGTTTAATAAAGTAAACAAATAAATATTACGCTTTTTTTTTTTGTAAATTTTGATACCCTTTAGATCATAATTGTTCTTTATTTCATAAATTACGGTTTCATATTTTTAATTTTATAATTTCTGCATGCCATCTTACCAGATTTAAACTGATGATCTATAATCCGGAAAAAATCGATAATTCGGAATCGCCGAAGTCGCGACGAGTCCGGATTAACGACTTTTGACTGTATTTTATATAAATGGAAGGAACGTTATGCATGTTATGAAACTGAAATTGTGCTTTATCAAAGCATGCAGACATAATTGTACTACATACATTTGATTACTACTGAGTCTCCTATTCATTTAAAAAGCACTGCAACTTACTCTGCTTCGCCTTCGTTCTTCACCTCTTTGGTCTGAATAAACTCTTTCGGTACGTTCTGGTGAATACTGTTTATAATGAGGTGAAACTCTTTCGTGTCGACATCCGCTATGTCTTCTTGGCATATCGCCACTATCAGAAGGCTTTTTAAGAGAATGACTTTTGTATTCGTAAGAAAATGTTTCATAGCCATCGTCGTCTATTATTTCTTTATGTCTTTCCTTTCCTCTTCTGTCTCCTTGCCACATTTCTGCCTTACGTTGCATTATTTCACCTTTATTGCTGGTGAATTGAACGAATAATGTTTTTAGATAGAATTTTAAGGAAAATATTAAAAAGAGGAAGAATAGAAATATTTTAAAGGAAGGCAAAATTTAAAAGTCCTATGTTAAGAGTTATATGATAATCTGAGTGTTTTCTGTTAATTTTTTGCATTTATACTTCCTTAAATAAAACAAAAAAAGAAAGAAGAAAGACGTTAATTTGTTATTAAGCCATTCAAATATTTTAAATGATCACAGAAATGGAATCCATCTTTGAATCTGTAAAAGAAATAACTAAATTACTGCTTCCGAAAATGTAGTGAATTTTAACACTTTCAGTAATGTATTATTGCACAGAGATCTCAATAAATAATTAGGCACAGAGATCTCAATAAATAATTAATGATTAACAGAAGAACTTGAATACTGAGATAACGAACAGCTCTTACATGCCACATAAATAGCTACGTAGGTATGTTGAAAAATAAGTTTCCTCTGTCGACTGTGGTCAGAGTTGTGTATGAAAGTCAAAAAATAGAATGAGACATTAAAGATATGACATACCTTATTTTTTACTAACAACGTTGAGACATTTGTCATAGCTTGATAAGCTTCAAACCTCAAAAAATCAGCTTTGCATATGGAAGAAGCGTTGAACGGCTACTGTGACACCCTGTCGAAATTGAAAGAGGCGATTCGGAAAAAGCGGCCTGGCCTTCTCACATCTGGCGTTCTGCTGTTGGATGACAATGCCAGACCACATTCGGCGACGGCAACGCAAAACCATATTGCAACTCTTGGTTGGGAGCGCCTACACCATCCGCCATACAGTCCTGATCTCGCACCAAGCGACTTCCATCTGTTTCCGGCTTTGAAGAAAAATCTCGGGGTAAGGCGCTTTGGAAGCAATACTGAAGTGACACAAGCCGTTCAACGCTTCTTCCATATGCAAAGCCCTGATTTTTTCCTGGAGGGCTTTTTGAAGCTTATTAAGTGATATGACAAATGTCTCAATGTACTTGGTACCTATGTGGAAAAATAAAGGTACGTCATATCTTTAATGTCTCATTCTATTTTTTGACTTTCATACACAACTCTGACCACAGTCGACTGGGGACACTTATTTTTCAACTTACCCTCGTAAAAACAAGCCAAAGGAAAAACAAAACTGAGGCGAAATTGTCCTTCGCATGCAAACAATATTGTAGATCATCAAAACTGCTCGCATAGCAAAGCTCTAATCATCAAACAGAAGCTCAAGTAAGAGTCTCGACCCATTTGACTTATTTACAGTTTGTTCAAGGTGAAGCATAAGAGCTTCCAGAAGCTTCAAGGTCCTTAAAGCTATGAAAATTCGTTTTCCAGAAACTTCCAGAATATCGTTAAGTTGGCGAGAAATCATCAGGTATAGTCAAGGATCGATAGGGGAATTTAAGCTCATATTTCTGGTTTTACCTGTGCTCTCCTTACAAGTACAGCATCAATCGATTCAGAATTAAAATATTTAACATATAATTCACGAACTAAGAACTTACAAATGTAATAAGCCGCCACATATTCAAAGTTAAACAAACTCTATATTACAAATAAATTTACAGTTATCCCACAAAATGCATTAAAGGTGCATAAACAAATAAAAACAATATCCATCGCTATAAAAATGCATAAGAACTGAATCATAGACAAATAACTATAAGCATTTACATAACTTGCAACAATAAGTAAAAGAATGTTCTTCATTTTCTTTGATGTGTGCGTATGATCCTATTTTATGATTTCATTCTGAAGTACAAAATAGGTACTTCCATGTTAAAGCGGCCATCGAGCTTTGATGCAAAACTTGCAAACTTTATCGCTTTGTCTGCAAGAGGCAAATTTTAAATGTCACCATAAGTTTACGCGGAGACCGCTTTAACAATTGAGTTTTCTTTTTTCGTATATGTGTGTGGGGAAGGCTAGTTTACTATGCTATCAAAAGTTCTGTTACATATTAATGAAAACCAGAGCACATATAGTTTAGCGATTAAAGCTTAATACCCTATCTCACATCCCACGAACCTCAAGTGATTGGGGTTCGTGGGGGGGAAGCAATAAAAAAGAACTTGTAGAGTTATTCTTCTAAAATAATGAGATTTTAAAGAATGACCGAGCATAGTACAGTTGAAACCCGATGTAACGAACCGGGTCATAACGAGTTCTCGGATATAACGAACGAATCTTTTGGTCCCACGTAATTCCTTATATATTTAATATTATTTTCTACTGCTATAGCGAATTTTTGAAGGCATGAAAATCGGATATGGTGAACTATTTGGATATCGTCGATTGAAATTTTTTTGCACCTTCCGCATTTTTTTCAAAACTTCAGCCGGTTCTAACGAAACAATTACTCCCTTAAAATCATTCAGGTTTAGGAAGTTAGAACCTCATCCCACATTTCATCCCTAAAAGACAACATCTTTATATAACTTTTCTTTCAACTATGTTCAACCCCACTTTTCTTTGCGTGATAAACAAAAACTAATGTGAAACTGGTGTGACGCCTAATCTGCGGGAACGAGGGCACAGTAAGCAAATTTTAGGAAAGTATGTGGCGTCCTTTGCATGTGGTGTATAGATCACTTAACTAAAGAATGTAAGTAGGTTCTCTGGTTGCATTCAAATTCTTTGAATGAGATGTCAGACACTAATTAGATGTCTGACATGAAAATTTTGAAATTTTCGTCATTCAGAAAAAGAGTAAATAGTGAATTTTATGAGTTTGTGTTACACAGTTGATTCGTCTTTCTTATTCAATTAGAAAAAAAAAATTAGTATAAATGCTATTCAAGTACTGGGGATCCCAAAATGGGAATTTTGCATTCTTTATGTCTTTTGAAAGATACAAGCTATATAACCTTTGCAAAAGTTATTGAAGCTGTCATTTAGAACCATACATATCTTAAATAAAAGTTAAATTGAACGATTTTTTGTATTCATTTTTTTATGTAAATATAAAAACAGAGATTTTATAGTTTTGCGAGACAATTTATCAGATATAGCGAACTAAACTTCTGATCTCTTGATATTCGTTTTAAAGGGATCAGCTGCTCATTAATATGCATGACATATTTTTTTCATGCTATTAAATTTAAAATTTCGCAGAGTATACGATTACGTGTATATGCAATATTAAAATTTCATCCTAAATCCTTGATCAGTTTAATTTCGTGATGTGCATACTGTACTGCAAGATATCGTCGGTTAATATAGCGACAACGAAAATAATTCCAAAGCTGATGAGTTCAACTTCGAATTCCAGTTAAGGTACAAATATCTGTATGTTTACTGAATATGGGACACTTAAAATTCATTGTTGTGAAAGTCCTGTTGGAAAGTCACTAGTAGGGAAGATGGCGCGAAACTTTTGGATTCTTTTTTTCTCGAGTACTTTCGATCAAAATCGAGTAGTCAGTAGTCAAAATCGCATTGTCACCTTTGATATTCAAGTTTTCTAGCTAGAAGAATGGTAATAAAATCGTGGTCTAAAAAAATATAAGGTTTATGTATCTGAGTACTGGAATGTAAGATGAGGAACATTAAAGCATGATATCTTGGGGCAAAAGTATCAGACATAATGCAAATAAATCTCTTATACTTATGTACCACATACTAAAGCTAAATTATTCACAAAGCTCGCTTATTCACATTTATTATTCATGAAGTACTCAATCTGAAAATTAAATACAGCAAAATGAAAGTTTTCCTGGCAATGAAAAACGAAATATTTCTGCAATGTATTAAAATAGTTTTTATAATCATGCAGTATAGCTTAATAAATAAAAATACAATAATGTTTCTAAGACACATAAATTTAATGCATGTTAAATGTAATACAGTAATGCATGCCAAGGAATCATGTTATATAACACATTATATATGGATGTTTTCTTATCAATCATAAGGTTTCGTTCATTTCTCTATCTATAAGGAGAAAATTTAATTTTGCATCAAAGATATGAAATATACTTACATGGTAAAGTAGAGAAATAGTTTAGAAATTACAAATTGTTACACACAGTATAAATGCTGCCAAGAATTTTTAAAATGCATAGCTTTTTTTTTGAACTAATTCTCGTGTTTTAGTAATGAAAACAATAGTATAAATGCTGCCAAGAATTTTTAAAAGCATAATTTTTTTTAACTAATTCTCGTGCTTTAGTAATGAAAACAATAGCATAAATGCTGCCAAGAATTTTTAAAAAGCATATCTTTTTTTAACGGATTCTCGTGTTTTAGTAATGAAAACAATGCGTTAATTATAAAAATGTAAAGCTGGGCTTATGTGGCAAGTTGAAAGCTATTTTTGATTCGATCAAAATATTTCATAAGAATTTTGATTTATATAACTATTTATATAACTTTGATTTATATACATATTGCTTTTCAAATGTTTTGGCGCCTGCAATTTTGTACAGAATTTTTTTTCATGAAGGAAAGATAAAACATGTGTAAATTAGTAAAAATCTCTGAGTTTTTTCAAACTTTTGATGCAATTCTACTCGTTGATAATGTGCAGTTTACAAAATTTATTTTTATCACCATGTTTACAATTTTTGTTCAAGGATTTTGCTATAGTTACCATTGTATTGGATAATTCTGTCCTACTTCACGAGTTCTTGCAGACTGCTCATATTTTACTATACAAGAACAAAATTATCTTTTAATATTATATTTAAAATCCACGCGTTTTCGAAAATTGAATTGATATTGTTGCGTGTGTATGGGTTCGTAAAGGATTGAACGCACATATTAGCGATGATAGCTTGATAAGAAACATTTTATAGTTCTGGAACTTCCCACTAAAATTATTTACACATATACAAAATTCGTAACTTTCATATTAATAACTTTCGTTCAATGATTTCCTTACAGTTACCATTACATCGGATAAGTCTGTCCTAGTTCAAGTCTTCTTGTAAACTCTTCATGTTTTGCTGTGCCAAAATAGCATTATTTTTAAGTATTATATTTAACGATCACGTGTTCTTCA